TGCCTTAACTGGAGTGCAGGTATAAGTTACCCGCACTGCAGAGCATGCCCATTAATTGGTTCATTTTGTCTGGGGTCTACATATTGTGACGACGGAGAAAGAATATCATATTCAGATGCTCGTTCATATTGGTTCCTTTTTTTCTTGGGTTTCATATTGTGACATCAGGGAACATGTTTTTATTTTTGACTATGATACAAAAGAGAAAGAACATCAAAACACTCGGCAATCGTATTTATACTCGGGGGTTACGTTCCCTCGTGCAAATCAGATATCCTCGTGTTTCGATGCTCTTTCTATTACAGAGAAGACAATTACAATTGTCCGAGGCGAGGACTTTTATCATATATTTGTTTCATGTGTTTGATATAGATAACAATTCTTTGTTTATGTCTTTGCTCAAGGTGTATGGATCTTTGAAAGCTGTTTTGTAGTTTAAAAAAAGCCTCAGGAAAATAATTGAATTATGGAATCACAAACCTTAATCCTGCGTGATGATAAAACGTAAAAAAACAACAGAATTGCCTCGATAATCCCTTGCGCGGTCTTATGTTTAATAATAATAAAAATGATAATAATAAATTTAAAAAAAACTCAAATTATAACACCGCCTCAAAGAACTCTGCGTTTTAATGATCATTTTGAGAAAACTATTATTTTTCAGTACATAAGAGCATTTTGCAGATTTTAAATCTGTTTATAATTCAAAATATAAAGGGACAGATTTGATGCATGATAAAAGAGATATTGTTAAATTACACGCTGTGATGCATGGAGTTGCCACTTTCCTTAACATAAGTATGCATTTACAAGCGCTTGGACGTATATCGTGCGTGCGTGCATCATGCAACGTGCGTTTGATAAAAGCGTTTCTTAAGCGTTCATTGTTTAAAGCGTTTTTCGTGTATCGATTATTCAAACTTTATTGTGCGTTTGAAAGAGTACGTTTGCTCTCCCCAGAAACGTGTGAGTCTGTGTTTGTTATCTGTTCCTATAATGGTAATTCAAAACAAAAAATGCGAAGATTAAAAACATAAAACGCTATGACTTCAACCTTATCAATTTACATTAAAGCGTGTGGTGTTTATTATGAATGTGTGAATGGCGCCACAGATTAGAAATTTAATCAGGCTATAAAGCAGATGGTAAGGATTTAATAACTCTACAATTGCACCATTTTTGTTTTTGAAACTAGGTAAACATGTGTGTTTATTAGTCGCCGGTAGAAACCGGCGACTATATTTGTAACAGTTTAATATTATATCTATTGTAGGAGAAGGCCTTAAAATTTGAATATAAAAGCAAATCAATCATTGAACAATTAAGGACCACAATTAATTTTCATAATCCTAAAAATTCAAACAGAAAATAGCGTTGCTCAATGAAATTAAATATACAAATATTGACATCTTTAAAAGCAACATTACAATTTTCATAAAATGAATTAATAATTAATGTATCCCTATGGACCAGTCATTGAATTTAGGGATACTTTTACTTTTTTTAAGTGTCAAGCGTTGCTATTTTATGATAGATAAATCATGAATGATATTTGAAATGACACTTTTAAATTATTTGGTTGTTTATATCTTACGATACCTATTATATTTCATTATTTTATCTAATTATAAACAGATTCTCCCTGTTCTGTAAGAATCACGTGACTACACGTTGTATGTTATTGTTCTAAAATCTATTAATAGTATCAGATTGCTGGCAAGACATACAGGTAGCTTGTAGGTATGGCGGCTGATGATGCAAATCATAGTAATTCTGTATAAATAATTACAAAGTTATTTTTCATTAATCAGTTTCATATTTTATATTATTAGAAAGGTCTGTATACTCATAAGGAATAAATTTTTAAAGCCTTTATAAACTTTGCCCTTTCTGTCAACGTTCAATAGTTTAGTTTAGGTTGAACATCACAAAATAGATTTATGCTACCGAGGCACATTTATTGAAATAAATAGTGGTAATCGTCGTCTTCGTTATATTCCGTCGATTTCCGTCGCGCAGGTTACCAAAACGGTATGACGGTAGGGATTCGGAATCGTATTATATAGATAAATAAAGAAAACTAATAAAATATCGTAAAGGCAATTAAACGTTAACTATATCGTATGTAACGACAGGAATATTGATTTCAACTAAATTATATATTTTTTCGATAGCGCATAAGAATAATTTCTTTTATGCAGATACCACTTTTACGACAGAATTGCGTTGTTTCATGCAATGATTAAAACATATATATTTTCAGAGTCATCTCGATTTATCAACTTATGTTTCATATAGTTAAAAGAAATAATAAAAAAATATTTTTATGAAAACTACAAAAAGGATTTTTAAAGATTCGAACTTGGCCTACTAGGTCACAACTTCGTCATACTTACCACTAGGCAATCGAGCAATATTAATTGATTTAATATCGAGATCTATACTATCAATAACATTTTTAGCAGTAATCATAAGTTACGTAAACTAACGAAACACCTCCCGAAAATTAATGACTCTCAGGTCAATACAAACTGTATTGCCAAACAATGCTTGCTTATTTTATAAGTATAACAGTTCCTTGACAGTATTGCTAAGCAAGTTTGCTTCAAATGTGATGTTTATTGTGAATAAACAGGTACTCAACATATTGTTCCTTTTTTCTTTATACTTGAACCATTAATTAAACTGATATTTTATTATATTTATGATAATACAATCATTTTTCTATCCGGCGACTTGATGCTTTAGCATCAAAACCTCTACTTGTATGCGTACTGTACCAATCTATTAGATATCAAGGTTGTCAGACATTATGTAATGGTAGTAAAACTATTATCCCTTTGAGCCGTTCCGTCCCTGATGTTTCGTTCACTGTCCGTACCCTATTTTGGCTGTCTATGTGTAGACCACTCCATCCTTCCTCTTCTATTCGCATATTAACAAATTAATATTTTTAGATATTTTTAATAAACAGGTAAATTAATTCTTAATCAATACAAATTAGAATAAAAACTTGCATACTCTTAGGCTAAAATTAATATAACATTTAATTAATGTTATTCAAAACTGATCACTTATATAGGGGAAAAATGTGTAAGCTGCCAAATAGCTCAGTCAATACGAATTCACGCCCAAAATATAGTATTCTGGGAGTCCTTTGGTTTAAATCCCGCTTAGATTCACTGATAATTAACCCCAAGTGAAGTATGATTACAATATCATTAGTTCATGCAAATGGTGGGATCTTTGCGAATGCTCGGCGGCATCTTAAAATAAAGTTCTAGCTACCAAAATTGTGACTCATTAAAATCATACCATTAAGTTTTTGGTCCTACAGTATGTAAACATGGATGAATAAAAGGCCACTATGTGTATGGTTGATTACAGTGATGTTTTTTTTTTCTTGTATAATTGTCACACGATTTAAAAGTGTTAGTATACGAAACAATTAATGAAAAGTTGTATATGACTCCTTATTGTTCAGGTGAATATTTGTGCTCTAACGTTTATGATTGAATTGTGTAAATTTTATAAATAGAAATTTAGGTGCAGTTAGAAGATTTTGTCTTTATTGGAGAGGTCATCAAACCTCTCCACAGTGTTCAGACTGATTGCTGGTGGCATCCATGTTTGCGTATCTGATTGTAGTGAACGAATCTCATTTAAAGCGTAAAATCATTAGGAGCAGTCTACAAAAATTGTTTTGCGCATGCTCCGTTTCAAAATACGACTTAACTTTAGCGAAAAATTAACATCGAAGTAAACAAATCGGTACAAAGAAAAAACGGAAAATATCATTTACGTTACTTAGCGCTACGTGGATGTTTCATTCCGTTTTAATCTTTTAAATGGTATAAATCGATTACTGTATTGTTTTCTGAATAGCGTTTTACTATTTCATGTTCCGATAAATAGTAACAGTGAATTTTACAGGTTCAATATCACCATGCACTATTATATGACCGGGTGAACCGTGTACCGAAATTTTGCTGCTCCTTAAACTTTTGAACCTGTATGACTATATAACGCAACGGAGATTTTTGGCGCAAATGGCACACATTTTACTCAAGATTTTCCTCAAATATTGTGGTTGGAGGCATGCAGCTTTATATACTGTTAATTCTAATCAAATGAGAGAAACATTTTTATGTAAATCTGGGACTTAAAATTTTTTGATTAACAAACTTTATGCCCGTTTTGGAAAAGGCTAGTCGTTTGTGACTCACGTACGGCTAGAACTTTTGGCTAGCCGTACGGGCCCCGTACGGCTAGCCACTTCCTTCGGAAAATGTAGAGGAAAAGTTTCCATATACTTACCAAAACATTAACCGAAAATGTGCTTATTGAATTTTATTAAATCTAAACTTTTATTGTGATACTGCTTTTAATATACATGTATATATGCATGTGAATATCATTTATTTTAAATTCAGTTTGATGACATAACATAAATTGTTCCCTTTTAGAAAAAGTACCCCTATTGCGCCGAAAAAAAGTCCATTTCTCCGGTATATAATCATTCAAAACATTAAAAAAATGAAGTGTAAAACAAACTTTCATTATAATACAATATTCAATATATATATTCAATTCTATTTTGTTAAATAATTGTAATTTATAAACATTTATTGTGTCTTTTATGCAAAAAATATCCCCAAATATTTTCGAATTAAACAAATCTTCTACAGCAGCAAAAAGTCCTCTCGCATGCTTCTTTTTAAAGAAGCAAACTTGTCATACTTACTGTTAAACTTTGCTTCGTAAAATACTCCTCTAATATTTTCTAGTCTACAATCTCAACTGTTTATATCATATTAAATATTAAGTCAGTGTAGAATTGAAGAATACACATCAAATAGTGAAACAGAAAAAAAAAAATTCAAAATCGAGTGGGTCGTATATTGATATGGAAAAGAATTGTTTCACTTTGCCCCGGTGTCCCCTACACATTGAATGAGCTTGTAACTTTAAAACAATACCTATGTATGTGGACAGTTGAAGTTTTCTCCCTTTTTTACAAAACGCCATTTGTATGTCACTTGTCAAAATTATACAACCACATTGTTTTTGATTATGAATGCTTTCATTAAATGCATGGTAAGTTGACTATTCACTTAAGCAGTTTAGTTTAAACTTTACTTAAAAAGACACTGTGTAAAACTACGTTTTATTGGGTTTATTTTAAACATTGTTGAATGGATTTCTAAGATGAACGATCGATAGTAGGCTATTAACAGATTAAGGCATTCGTCTGTATATGTATACATTATCTGAAAATAATAAACGTCATTGTACACATTTACAGTATAGCTAGTGTTTATAAATGGACAATACAAATGACTGACCTTGTACACGTTATTTTTGAGATTTATGTGTAAGATGATTTATATATTATGAATTCTTTAAATCGTATAAAAAATTATAACTCCTTTTGTTTTATCTGTATAGAAAAATTATTAAATTTGATTTTGATTTCTAGATAAGCATATCACTGTGACATTTTCTACGACATAGAATGATTAACGCAAGTTATGACGAAGCGCATGATCCTAAATATGGAGATCCATTTCCGGTTCCAATTGTTATGGCAACAACAGAAACATTAAAAGGTTATGGTAAAATTGTGACAGATTTTGAAAATGAAGAGGTGGAAATAACTCCATGGCCTGTACAAGGTAGGTAGATCTGTTGACATGATAGTGATGCTTATTTTAATATATAATATCCAATGTCCAATAGGTCTAAAACATAAAAGTTTTCCTATGCTGAAGCCAAAAACATTAATTATGGATAATGGCCTGAAATTAAATTTATACAGACGAAATCAATTAAATAAAATGGTTATTTTGCCCTAATACTTTTGCTATTACAGCTTTTTCAAACTTTCATAGAAACAAGATTTTAATGTATATTTTACTGCATGTATGGCGAGTGAAATTTAACATTTTTGAATCCATCACAGGTTGGCGTAAACTATGCCCTGGCACAGGTACCCTTGGGGGTCTTATACATGATGAGTTAACATACAAATGGGTCGGGGACCAGTCACTGTTTACTGACGGCACCGAAGATGGTGACTTTATTACTGGCAGATTGCCAAAACATGTTTCGCCTGCCGACAGGACGCACGTGCTTGTCAGAGAAGCAAATTATCACCCGGATGGAGGTCAAGTTTTCTACCCGAAGAATAAAGATCCCTTTGTTGCCTTACTCGCCTTACCAGGAGACGATATCAAACTTGAAGATTTTGTTGCTTTTTATTTTGATGGAACGTTCGGTGTGCAGATACACGCAGATATCTGGCATCAGCCAATTTATCCAATCAGAGACGCGTCCGTGATTCGTGGTAAACAAGGGGCGGTACACGCATGCGTAGCAATGGATACTGTGAAAGAGTTCGGAAAGTTTCTACTTGTACCGTTAAAACCGCCAATTTAGTATTACTCTTTTAACTGGTTTTTATATACATGTACATGTATATGTTATGGAAATTATTTACTGTGATGACTGGAAAGATTATAGAACACTATTTTGATGCTTCTATTTTTGGCGTTATTATTTTTCAAATTTGGTGTTTTTATTCTATTGTAAAGATTATTTCTGTGGTAACGTTTCTATTTCTTTTTTATATGTGGCCATACCAAGGTGGTTTACAATCATTTATACCGCCAGCATCAAGTTTGGTTCTATTTGAAGGATGTGTTTTTCTTAATTATTATTGTTTGGCAATATGAACAGAGAAAATTGTGAACAAGGCATTTTTCAAGAACAGTTTATTTAAAAAATATACCAAAATCGACAAAAGCAGGCAAGACTGAAAAGTTTCAATTTATAATCAAAATGAACAAAGTAGATGATGTTTGTACACACAAAGAGTAGCGAAACATGAACGTTTTCACACCTTTACCTTCTTGAATACAAGGTGATAAGCCTTTGCCACTTAGTATCAGCTAAGTATCGAGCCAGACGAGCCTCTATTTACTGCTGGTAGCTCTTCATCCCTTAAACTTGGAATATACTGCTCCAAAGTCAAAGCAGGACGAATCCATTACATAAATTCAGCATGTGAATGGTTAAGAAGATAAGCAATAAGCGTTGGGCTACCGCTTGTGTGAATAATAACTACAAAATGTTACCTTTGTGTGAATACATAATTATAATAAAACGCTATTTCTTAAGTAAATAGATAATAATAACATCTTCAAATTTATAACAATAACAAACACATAATGTTTCTACCAATCAAATAATGTAGCTAATCATGACAAAAAAGAAAACTGTAATCCAAATCGAGTTTTCAATGTCTTTGTAAAATATTGGTATACATTATATTACATAAACTTGTAGCGAATAGATGTATTTCCATATTATCCCATGTTTATGATTTGAATACTCCGATAAGACTCCTATGTAACTTCATAATTATTATTACCCAAGGATAGCGTTTTCTTAATGCTAAAGTATACTGTTTAACTTTAAAATCATGTTATTGGTAAGTAATGATCCTTGGATTTTCTGATTATAAACGAGTGATACATGTCCCTCTGGGCATTCTATGATATGTCTTGAGTTTTCCTATAAATAATAAACAAAGTGATATTAAGCTTCAACGATAGTTCAGAATAATGGAGGTAAATCTAAAAAGCAGAAACTTGTGGCAACTACACTGTATATTTAAAGAAACAGATCTTGATCTTTCTAACATTCAACTTACATGTTGCCATGCTGCCTAACAATGTCCAACAATACGACACTCAAATTTTTGATACATTTCTACCATTCACACTGGAATCAAAATGTTCTTCCAATTTTACACACAACAAAAGAAAAATACAAAACTGTATTACAAAAAAAAATCTTTTGTGTAATGAAGCTACTTCTAGACAGTAAAAACTGATGTTTAACAGTCATTTTGTATCAAATTATCTCAACAGATTATCACAATATTTTTCTTTAAATATAGAATGAATCACTAAATGACAAACTTTCTAAATAAATAACTGTGTTCATGTTTAGTTGTTGAGTTCTGCTTAAAGGTCCACTTAGCATCAGAAAGGTTTTTTATAAAATATCTCAAAAACTTTTACAATTACTACTGTACTGCAAAGTTTTCATTTTTGTTGTTTAGCGCGTGCGTTAAAATTTTGAAACACATCTATAAAATACATGTTAAATATATAACAAACTCGATTATAGGAGTAAACGTGAAGAAAAAACCCACATTAACGTACTTTCATCACATTTAACACGATTAAATACTAGCTGACTCAAATCTTGGCAAAAATACATTACAGTATAGAAACAAAACGAAACTCGATGTCGAAACCGAAACACAGACCGAAATGTGATGTCACAAAAAAATAGTATGTCACATGTCAAAAATGATATCATATTTATAAAAACAAACAATTATTTTGCTGCGCGAACAAAGTGAGTATGATGTCACAATTAAAACCTGAAGTCACAATTGAAACAAAGTGTCATAATTTAAATATGATTCGCGATTTAAACAAATCGTAATTTTAAAAACGATGACATAATTTAACACGTCACAAAAACGGTTCAAATATTATTTTCAACATGCCATTACAATTCTAACATGATATCACTATGGAAGCAATTTTACCGTGTGGCAACTTAAGCATGATGTCACATTTTAATTGTGCCATAACTAATTCATGATGTCACAATTTATGCATTATGTCATAACTTATGCATAAACAGCCTGAAATATACTATCAGTTAATCTTTTGTACATTAGTTACTGTGAAAAAAACATGGGTAACATGGTAATAATTGATGAACATTTCAAATGGGAGATTAGTAGCAGAATCATAGAAACATAGTAACAGTGAATTTTACAGGTTCAATATCACCATGCACTATTATATGACCGGGTGAACCGTGTACTGAAATTTTGCTGCTCCTTAAATTTTTGAACTTGTATGACTATATAACGCAACGGAGATTTTTTTGGCGCAAATTACACACATTTTACTCAAGATTTTTCCTCAAATATTGTGGTTGGAGGCATGCAGCTTTTATATACTGTTAATTCTAATCAAATGAGAGAAACATTTTTTATGTAAATCTGGGACTTTAAAAAATTTTTTGATTAACAAACTTTATGCCCGTTTTGGAAAAGGCTAGTCGTTTGTGACTCACGTACGGCTAGAACTTTTTGGGCTAGCCGTAAGGGCCCCGTACGGCTAGCCACTTCCTTCGGAAAATGTAGAGGAAAAGTTTCCATATACTTACCAAAACATTAACCGAAAATGTGCTTATTGAATTTTATTAAATCTAAACTTTTATTGTGATACTGCTTTTAATATACATGTATAGGATGGTCCCCTATGGTACCACTGTTCTTATTATTTCCAGCAAATTTTACACATGAAAAGAACTTGTATTTACTATTTTATTAAATTATGTTTAACTATCGCATCTTGAGTTTAAAATACACATGTCATTCATAGAATAATTCAATGATTTAAATTAGAAACATATATGGTCATTAAGTCATGTTTTGAATGGGAGCTTAAACGGAGAGCACTATGGTACCGTGGTATGTAAATTGATGGCCCATTTTGGAATCAGTAGAATTTTTTCAACAGAATTATAACATCACTGCAGTTTCAGAAGACGACCTTTATTTGTCAGAACATGAAATTTTCAGTTTAACCGGTAAATATGGGATAAAATAAAAAGTATTTTCCCAACACACTTGGGCAGCTTTGGATTTTTCCTATCAATGACAGAAATTTATTTTAAATGAAAATATTTTCGAAACATTTTTTATCCAAATTCAAAAAATCAGCACTTCCACTTTTCACTTTAATGGTGGAAACATTCGATTGGTCGCGTTCAGTGAATAAAGAAACACATTTTTCTGATTGCACCGGAATGGGCAAAGACGCGGTACCCGCGGGGAGTACTATATATGCATGTGAATATCATTTATTTTTAAATTCAGTTTGATGACATAACATAAATTGTTCCCTTTTAGAAAAATACCCCTATTGCGCCGAAAAAAAAGTCCATTTCTCCGGTATATAATCATTCAAAACATTAAAAAAATGAAGTGTTAAAACAAACTTTCATTATAATACTATATTCAATATATATATTTAATTCTATTTTGTTAAATAATTGTAATTTATAAACATTCATTAATTGTGTCTTTTATGCAAAAAATATCCCCAAATATTTTCGAATTAAACAAATCTTCTACAGCAGCAAAAAGTCCTCTCGCATGCTTCTTTTAACAGAAGCAAACTTGTCATACTTACTGTTAAACTTTGCTTCGTAAAATACTCCTCTAATATTTCCTAGTCTACAATCTCAACTGTTTATATCATATTAAATATTTAAGTCAGTGTAGAATTGAAGAATACACATCAAATAGTGAAACAGAAAAAAAAATTCAAAATCGAGTGGGTCGTATATTGATATGGAAAAGAATTGTTTCACTTTGCCCCGGTGTCCCCTACACATTGAATGAGCTTGTAACTTTAAAACAATACCTATGTATGTGGACAGTTGAAGTTTTCTCCCTTTTTTTACAAAACGCCATTTGTATGTCACTTGTCAAAATTATACAACCACATTGTTTTTGATTATGAATGCTTTCATTAAATGCATGGTAAGTTGACTATTCACTTAAGCAGTTTAGTTAAACTTTAAACTTTACTTAAAAAGACAGTGGTAAAACTACGTTTAATTGGGTTTATTTTAAACATTGTTGAATGGATTTCTAAGATGAACGATCGATAGTAGGCTATTAAGGCATTCGTCTGTATATGTATATGTATACATTATCTGAAAATAATAAACGTCATTGTACACATTTACAGTATAGCTAGCGTTTATAAATGGACAATACAAATGACTGACCTTGTACACGTTATTTTTGAGATTTATGTGTAAGATGATTTATATATTATGAATTCTTTTAAATCGTATAAAAAATTATAACTCCTTTTGTTTTATCTGTATAGAAAAATTATTAAATTTGATTTTGATTTCTAGATAAGCATATCACTGTGACATTTTCTACGACATAGAATGATTAACGCAAGTTATGACGAAGCGCATGATCCAAAATATGGAGATCCATTTCCGGTTCCAATTGTTATGGCAACAAAAGAAACATTAAAGGGTTATGGTAGAATTGTGACAGATTTTGAAAATGAAGAAGTGGAAATAACTCCATGGCCTGTACAAGGTAGGTATATCTGTAAACATGATACTGATGCTTAAGCAGCTTAACTTTAATATATAATATCCGACAATAGAACTTAAAAGTTTTTTCCTTTCTAAAGCTAAAGTCATTATGGACCACGGACTGAAAATAAATTTATACAATGGAATAAAATGATATTTTTTGTCCTTCGCTTGTTCTGGTCTTTTGCTATTACAGCTTTTTTCAAACTTTCATAGTTACAAGATTTTAATGTGTATTTTATGGTAAATGAAATGTATCGAACATTTTTAATCCATCACAGGTTGGCGTAAACTATGCCCTGGCACAGGTACCCTTGGGGGTCTTATACATGATGAGTTAACATACAAATGGGTCGGGGACCAGTCACTGTTTACTGACGGCACCGAAGATGGTGACTTTATTACTGGCAGATTGCCAAAACATGTTTCGCCTGCCGACAGGACGCACGTGCTTGTCAGAGAAGCAAATTATCACCCGGATGGAGGTCAAGTTTTCTACCCGAAGAATAAAGATCCCTTTGTTGCCTTACTCGCCTTACCAGGAGACGATATCAAACTTGAAGATTTTGTTGCTTTTTATTTTGATGGAACGTTCGGAGTGCAGATACACGCAAATATCTGGCATCAGCCACTTAATCCAATCAGAGACGAGTCTGTGATTCGTGGTAAACAAGGGGCGGTACACGCATGCGTAGCAATGGATACTGTGAAAGAGTTCGGAAAGTTTTTACTTGTACCGTTGAAACTGCCAATTTAGTATTACTCTTTTAACTGGTTTTGATATACATGTACATGTATATTTTAAGATAATAATTTACTCTGGTGGCTCGAAAAAATATTTTTCAATTTGGTGTTTTTATTCTATTGAAAAATATTATTTCTGTGGTAACGTTTTTATTTATTTTTTATATGTGGCTATATCAAGGTGGTTTGCAATCATTTGTACCGCCAGCATCAAGTTTGGTTCTATTTGAAGGATGTGTTTTTATTTATCATTATTTTTTGGCAATATGAACAGAGAAAATTGTGAACAAGGCATTTTTCAAGAATAGTTTATTTTAAAAAATATACCAAAAACAACAGAAGCAGGCAAGACTGAAAGGTTTCAATTTATATTCAAAATGAACAAAGTAGATGATGTTTGTACACACAAAGAGAAGCGAAACATGAACGTTTTCATACCTTTACCTGCTTGAATACAAGGTGATAAGCCTTTGCCACTTAGTATCGAGCCAGACGAGCCTCTATTTACTGCTGGTAGCTCTTCATCCCTTAAACTTGGAATATACTGCTCCAAAGTCAAAGCAGGACGAATCCATTACATAAATTCAGCATGTGAATGGTTAAGAAGATAAGCAATAAGCGTTGGGCTACCGCTTGTGTGAATAAGAACTACAAAATGTTACCTTTGTGTGAATTATTATATAAAATGCTACCTCTTAAGTAAATAGATAATAATAACATCTTCAAATTTATAACAATAACAAACACATAATGTTTCTACCAATCAAATAATGTAGCTAATCATGACAAAAAAGAAAACTGTAATCCAAATCGAGTTTTCAATGTCTTTGTAAAATATTGGTATACATTATATTACATAAACTTGTAGAGAATAGATGTATATCCATATTAACCCATGTTTATGATTTGAATACTCCGATAAGACTCCTATGTAACTTCATAATTATTATTACCCAAGGATAGCGTTTTCTTAATGCCAAAGTATACTGTTTAACTTTAAAATCATGTTACTGATAAGTAATGATCCTTGGATTTTCTGATTATAAACGAGTGATACATGTCCCTCTGGGCATTCTATGGCAATATATGATATGTCTTGAATTCTCCTATTAATATTAAACAAAATGTTTATATACATGTAATCCAATATTATTCATTTTTGAATAAATTTTATATAAATTTTCTTCAATAATAGTTTCAGAACAACGGAGTTTAGCTTTTCTAAAAAGCAAAAAAAAAAAAATGCGGCTAGTATATAAAAGAAACAGACCTTGAACTTTCTAACATTCAACTTGCATGTTGCCAGTGGTGCTGTCTAACAATGTCCAACAATACTACACTAAAAAATCTTTAGGTTATTGAAGCTGCTGCTAGGCAACATTTATTTAAAGTTTAACGGTCATGTTGTATCAAATTAACTCTTCAGTTTCTCACAATATTTTTCTTCAATTCTATAATGAATCACTTGAAGACAAATTTTCTAAATATAAAATGTGTTCATGTTTGGTTGTTGAGTTCTGCTTAAAGGTCTATTAAGCACCAGAATTCTTTTTTCTATAAAATATCTCGAAAGTTTTATTTATTTGTGGTGTTCTGTACAAGTTTCTAAAAAGTAACTTATTGTCCATTCCCCTTTCCTCAGTTGTTTTATATCAATAAGTACATTTATAGTAATTTAGTCTTACGGTAGTTAGAGTATTTGTTTGTTTGCATTTTGCTACTTTTATTACAAATTATTTCATACTCATTGGTACTGTTTCGCGTGGTTAGTATCTTACATGCTCTAGAACCATTATTAAAGCATTATTAAACCCACGTTTGCTTTATTTTAAAGAAAGAAATATGTATTAATTTCTGGGGCATAATGTGTCTTTAAGTCAATGCAAGAGGTTGCCGACCGTAGCTTACATTTTCCACTGTTGTCTGAGTCTGCAAAGCTTTCAATTTTGTTGTTTAGCGCGTGCTTTTCAAGCGGATGGCGTTTAAAATTTTGAAACACATCTATAAAAAGCATGTAAAATATATAACAAACTCGATTATACGAGTAAACGTGAAGAAAAAACTCACATTAACGTACTTTCATCACATTTACACGATTAAATACTAGCTGACTCAAATCTTGGCAAAAATACATTACAGTATAGAAACAAAACGAAACTCGATGTCGAAACCGAAACACAGACCGAAATGTGATGTCACAAAAAAACAGTATGTTACATGTCAAATATTATACTAGTATCATATTTATAAAAACAAACAATCATTTTGCTACGCGAACAAAGTGTAGTATGATGTCACAATTAAATTCTGAAAACACAATTGAAACAAAATGTCATAATTTAAATATGATTCGCGATTTAAACAAATCGTAATTTTAAAACGATGACATAATTTAACACGTCACAAAAACGGTTCAAATATTTTTTTTTAACATGCCGTTACAATTCTAACATGATATCACTATGGAAGCAATTTTACCGTGTGGCAACTTAAGCATGATGTCACATTTTAATTGTGCCATAACTAATTCATGATGTCACAATTTATGCATTATGTCATAACTTATGCATAAACAGCCTGAAATATACTATCAGTTAATCTTTTGTACATTAGTTACTGTGAAAAAAACATGGGTAACATGGTAATAATTGATGAACATTTCAAATGGGAGATAAGTAGCATAATCTACATGTAATCTATGAAGCGGATCAAACTAGGTGCATATACATAGATAATAATTCAACAACATTAACTTAAATAGGTATCCATACAATTTACAATTTTCCGAGTTTAAATAAGAATAATGAAAGACAGTACCTATAAGAGTATATCAACTGAGATGCAGACACACACAGAGAGGAGTGCAAAAAGGTACCAGTTTATATATTGCTTTAATTGGAAATGCACCCTGTTCAAAAACAAACTAATGCAAGTTAAAAAAGTTATTGATGAATAAAATATGTCATATTATTAAAGCGGTCCTCAGCTTTTCTAAAGGTTAAATAATTTTTTTTACATAAAGCTTTTCATTTAATGGTCACATCAAAATAATTAATTTGTCGATGATAAAAAAATGATGTCACACATAAAACAAGAGCACCGCTAGGCGGAGTATTATATGCCCGAAAGTATTTTTTTTTAGTAAGGATGAATCATTTGTAAGACATTACATTAAATTAAATAAAGTATTACCTCCTTCAAATAGCAATCCTCCTATAAAGTTTGAATAGTGTGGGCCAAATGGAACTTGGGTTATGCTCTGGAAACTGTTTTCAGTTTTGAGGTAATATAGTGACTTTGACCTTGTGACCCCAAAATCAATAGGGGTATCCTACCCAATATGGACAATCATCTTATGAAGTTTGAACACTATGGGCCAAATGGGACTTAAGTTTTGTTCCGGAAACTGTTTTCAGTTTAAGGTTATAGTGACCTTGGGACACCAAAATCAATAGGGGTTTTCTACCCGATATGGACAATCATCCTATGAAGTTTGAATATTGTGGGCCACATGGAACTTAAGTTATGCTCCGGAAACTGTTTTCAGTTTTAAAGTAATAGTGACCTTGAACTTGTGACCCCAAAATCAATAGAGGTATTCTACCCAATATGGACAATCATCCTATGAAGTTTAAAACTGTGGGCCAAACGGAACTTAAGTTATGCTCCGGAAACTGTGTGATATTGACTTTGACCTTGTGACCCCAAAATCAATAGGGGTCTTCTACCCAGTATGGACAATCATCCTATGAAGTTTGAATACTGTGGGCCGAATGGAACTTAAGTTATGCTCCGGAAACCAAATTGCTAACGGACGGACGAACGGACGCCAGGGGGTATAACATAATATGCCCGAAATTATTTCGGGCATATAAAAAATTGAAATGTGTTTTAGAAAGTAAACACCAAACTCCTTGATAAAGAGTCGTTAAACCCCTTAAAACGTTTGAGGTTATTGATTTGACTTGACTTGACTTGGAAACCGTTTAAAATATTTCGTGCAATCATACCGGACTGTACGTTCTGTTTGCTCCTTACCTATATTATCTAAAATCTCCATCATAGATTTGATGGATTAAAGACTGAGTGATTCCACATTCAACATTGTTATGGTTGTTAATGCAAACACGTCTGATGTACCAATAGAAATACAATGAATATATATAATGTTCCACTGACTAGATTTCACAGCCGTTTATCCAACAGCTGACTCAAAATGTTTAAATACAAAACCGTCATAAAACTCAATTAAGTACTTAAAAAGCATTTACAAATCAACATCGTCAAAGACTGTATGCCTAGATTACCTAGTGGGAATATAATAACTTAAAAACAACAGAGATAGTTTGTAATCCGTTCTATGTATCCATGGACTAATAGAAGTCAGGGTTGAAACACTTGTCTCAGATTGTTCGCCATTAGCCTGAGGTCACGTGTTATTGTGGCCAGATCCAGCAGAAGAACCGCTCCCAGTAAAACAACAATGAAAATGATCCCAGCAATCCCTACTGCGGTGGCTTCTGTTCTGCCGTCCTGTGCGCTACTTTTTGAGCGAATCTTGAAACGAAAAGAAATACAGTAAGAGTTAAGTACATAACGTTTGAATTATTACATGTTACGGTGTCTATTGAAGTATTAAAACTCCCTTGTGTGTTAATTTTTAATAAGAATGGCTATAAAGATCTATTCATGTTCAAAGATAATACTTAGTGGCGTCATGGCCGAGAGATTACCGCCTCAAAAGTAATCTAATGATCGCTAGCCGCATGAGTTCAAATCCCTTCACAGGCAAATCCTTGTTTCCTTGAGCACACTCATTGCTAAGTACTGCTTGGATCCAGGAACGGGTTCGAAATTGTATCTATAAGCTTATAGCTACATACACAAGCGAACCAAAAAAAACTAGTATGTGATCCAATCTAAGTTTAATGTAGCTTAAGAAAATGCATAAAAACAAGTCTATATAAAATTGCTAAACGCATTAACTGGAGTAAATCCATTTACCAAAGTCAGCCAGGTCTAAGACAGATTTTTGTCGCGCTACAATTTATTTACTTCTGATACTTTATCGTGCTGAACGACATGTTTACTGATAAAGTAACTGCATTATAAACGTACCACGGAGCTCAGAGATGTCTTTGATACTCTCAGTTTCTCCTGTATTTCCTTGACAACAATCTGCAGCTCCTGGGGTGTATAGTTCTTTGGTGGATTAACCCATCCACATGGACATATACAATCAGCCACGCAATTTTCTTTTGTTGCTACACAGATTCGCATTTTAAATAAACAAACAAAAAATATAGTAAATTATGCATGTTTAAATCTGTTGTTACTTTAGATCATAGAGATAGTTAAGGAAATTAGCCGAATGTACCGACTTTCTGTCCACGCACTGCCGTGTAATGCGGAGGTTTTGTTGTTTCTCGTCTTTTCGAGAAAAAAATGATGGTAAAGAAGTGGCCGTCCGTCACACTTCGTGTCCGGTGTATGATTCTGTCATGTATCAAGATATTTTGAAATAACACGACGTGCCATGAGCAACACTCCAAGATCCATGACGCACTTTGAGATTAAAGGTCAGCATTGTCTACGGGATGATACATTACGTGTCTGGTCCACAATTTTTTTCTCTAATAACAAAAATTTATGTAAAAAAATATTTTAAAAAATATTTTAAAAAAATACATACCATAGCAAAATACATATTGATTTTTAGACTCTTTATTATATTAATTACTTTGGATCTGGGCAGAATTGCATGTTCTTACTTTTGAACAAATTCGTCTACATTAAAGTGTACTACTGCTCACTTTTGTGTGTGTGTGGGGGGGGGGGGCTATGGCACACGAACAATTAACAATTTAGGTCATATGACGTCGGAACAGGGAAGATGATTTTGGCTAACCCCAGGTGTTACAAACTTAAAGCAACGCCAGAGTTCAAAACCATCTCACCTACTGGAGCTAAGAGATGCACCGACTCCACTTATTGGCGCCTATATAGTCGCCTCTTACCATCACACAGGGGGGGGGGGATGAACGGGGGGCTGCAATTCTGTTGCTCCAAACCTTAAAGGCAACCTCTTGGTCGCAAATGGAAAGGTATAAGAAGTAAGGTGTTCGGAAACGTACTATTAGTTACTGTTGGCTCTGTAGTTGCGGCCGTTCCTTGAACCACAACAGCGACTGCAGATGCAGAAAGCGGAAGATAAGTCGGTGGTGAACCTGGCGGTTTAGCAAGGACGGGTGTTACAGTTGGAGGGTTCATTTTTACGAGTCCGTTATTTATGGTGATAACACTTCCTCCACTATTGTTATTTCCGGAAGAAATGTCGCCTGTCGCAGCACTTTCGCCCGCATTTCCAGTACCAGAGTTGACTGGACATGTCACGGACTCTGGTGTAAAGGCTAGGTCTATGTTTGTTGCAGTAAATGCTGAAAAAAGTCGTGATTGGTCACTTAAAAAAAACATAATTGGTCATGTGGAAATTTATTTTAAGATTGAAAAATTTATGTATTCGGTATAAAAAAAAAGATATTTTTTTTATCATGATTATGTGAAATTTTCAGGCAGAATATATTCGACACACCTATTCACAAAGAGTACTGCACACAAAAAACTCCCTTGGACGGCAATATGTCAAAAATACACAAATGGTTCAAGTCTGATGCATAAGTAGGTCACAAGACTTTAAACGTGAAATCTTAAAAAAAACAACATCTTGTCTTGAAGTACAATGCTAAGAGCTTAGATATTAAGCATGAAGCATCATATTGTGGTTCTCTAAATTAGCCCATTAGATTCAAAACTGGCCCTGTCCTATGGGCCACTTCGTTTACATTGCCTTAAATAGGAAAAAACAATTGAAGTCTTCTTTTATGAAACTAACTGCCCTTAGCTTAAATATTTGGCATGTGGCATTGCCAAGTAGATCTCTAAAAGTAATATATAATTACATGTACAACATTGCAATGGGCCAATGGCGTATTGGCACTTAAATTGCGTTTGTGTTCTTATCATGCAATTGATGAATGATTTGTCAATAAATATCAAGTATCAACAAAACTATTTAGCATAATTATAATGTTGAGTTGTGTCAATGATTTCTTTAAATTAAACAATAGGAAACAATTACAAACAAAACAAAAACAAAACAAAAACTGAAAAACAGAGAAAAAAAAAGAACGCCCAAAACTGGAAAATTGAGAAATATTGCAGGCTCGGTTTTATTGCGCCTGTTCGTGGATGGGTGTGGTAATTCCAAGCTACCGTCTACGCCCTCTAGCACCGGCTTAAGCAGAATTTAAAATTTAAACATGAAAGATACATACGAGTTGTTCCGCTAGCACAATCCTCATTAAAACTTCCATCTATATCGGCGTCTGAAAAAAATATGCAACATTATTAATTATTTTGTACATACCTTTGGAAGTTGACTGCTATAATTAACACAAATGTATACCTTTTTAATTTCTGAAATTATACAGGTATGATTTACTTTAATACCGTCGAACAAGCAAGACGCAAACAACAACAATTGTAAGAGTTAACAACAACTGAAACTATGGCAACAAAAGCAACAACATTAATATTTTAAATATTAGAAACATCAGGAATACCGGTATAAGAAAAATTGTAACCAAATAATATACCGTAAGCCGCAACAATAGTAGCAACAGAAATAGAAACAACCAGAAAAGATTGTGACCGATAATGTTGATGTTTTTTTGTTTTGAATTTTGTTTTTGTCTATTTTTCTTGTCGTTCTTGCTGTTGTTGAAAGTGCTGCTGCTGTTACAGCTGTTTGCTTATATGTTGATGATGATGATGATGTTGTTATTGTTGCTGTTGTTGCTTACGTAGTTGTTTTGTGTAGGATGATGATGGTGATGATGATGTTATTGCTGCTTTTGTTGTTTATGTACTAGTTGCAATGGTGGTATTGTTGTTGTTGTTGTTGTTGCTGTTTCTTCTTCTTCTGCTGCTGTTATAAAGTCTTTGAATATTTTGATGATGATGTTGTTGTTGTTTTTGATGTTGTTGTTGTAATAATCTTACTACGTTTTGAATATTTTGATGGTGTTGTTGTTGATGATGTTGTTGTTGTAATACAGTCTGATAACATTTTGAATATTTTGATTGCGATGTTGTAGTTGTTTTTGATGTTGTTGTTGTTGTAATAAATTGTGATAACGTTTTGAATATTTTGATGATGATGTTGTTGTTTTTGACGTTGTTGTTGTTGTAATAAAGTCTTATAACGTTTTGAATATTTTGATGATGATGTTGTTGTTGTTTTTGATGTTGTTGTTGTTGTTATAAATTGTGATAACGTTTTGAATATTTTGATGATGATGTTGTTTTTGATGTTGTTGTAATATAGTCTTATTACGTTTTGAATATTTTGATGATGATGATGTTGTTGTTTTTGATGTTGTTGTTGTTGTAATAAAGTCTTATCACGTTTTGAATATTTTGATGGCGATGTTGTTGTTGTTGTTGTTGATGTTGTTGTTGTAATAATCTTATTGCGTTTTGAATATCTTAATGGTGTTGTTGTTGGTTTTTGATGTTGTTGTTGTTGTAATAAAGTCTTATAACGTTTTGAATATTTTGATGATGTTGTTGTTGTTTTTGATGTTGTTGTTGTTGTAATAAAGTCTTATAACGCTATGAATATTTTGATGATGATGTTGTTGTTGTTTTTGATGTTGCTGTTGTAATAAACTTATTACGTTTTGAATATTTTGATGGTGTTGTTGTTGCTGTTTATGTTGTTGTTGTTGTAATAAAGTCTTAAATTAAACGTTTTAAATATTTTGATTGCGATGTTGTTGTTGTTTTTATGTTGTTGTTGTTGTTGTAATATAGTCTTATTACGTTTTGAATATTTTGAATGCGATGATGTTGTTGTTTTTTATGTATGTTGTTGTTGTTGTTGTTGTAATAGTCTTATAACGTTTTGAATATTTTGATGATGATGTTGTTGTTTTTGATGTTGTTGTTATTATTGTAATAAAGTCTTATTACGTTTTGAATATTTTGATTGCAATGTTGTTGTTGTTTTGATGTTATTGTTGTTCTTATATAGTCTTATGACGTTTTGAATATTTTGATGTTTTTGATGTTGTTGTTGTTGTAATTTAGTCTTATTACGTTTTGAATATTTTGATTGCGATGATGTTGTTGTTTTTTATGTTGTTGTTGTTGTTGTAATAAAGTCTTATTACGTTTTGAATATTTTGATTGCAATGTTGTTGTTGTTTTGATGTTATTGTTGTTCTTATATAGTCTTATTACGTTTTGAATATTTTGATGATGATGCTGTTGTTTTTGACGGTGATGTTGTTGTAATAAAGTCTTATTACGTTTTGAATATTTTGATTGCGATGATGTTGTTGTTTTTTATGTTGTTGTTGTTGTTGTTGTAATAGTCTTATAACGTTTTGAATATTTTGATGATGATGTTGTTGTTTTTGATGTTGTTGTTATTGTTGTAATAAAGTCTTATTACGTTTTGAATATTTTGATTGCAATGTTGTTGTTGTTTTGATGTTATTGTTGTTCTTATATAGTCTTATGACGTTTTGAATATTTTGATGTTTTTGATGTTGTTGTTGTTGTAATTTAGTCTTATTACGTTTTGAATATTTTGATTGCGATGATGTTGTTGTTTTTTATGTTGTTGTTGTTGTTGTAATAAAGTCTTATTACGTTTTGAATATTTTGATTGCAATGTTGTTGTTGTTTTGATGTTATTGTTGTTCTTATATAGTCTTATTACGTTTTGAATATTTTGATGATGATGTTCTTGTTTTTGACGGTGATGTTGTTGTAATAAAGTCTTATTACGTTTTGAATATTTTGATAGCGATGTTGGTGTTGTTGATGTTGTTGTTGTAATAATCCTATTACGTTTTAATTATTTTGATGGCGATTTTGTTTTTGGTGTTGTTGTTTTTGTTATTATATAGTCTTATTGCGTTTTAAGTATTTTGATGATTATGTTGTTGTTGTTGCAGTTTCTGGTAATGTTGCTGCTTATGTTGTTTTAGTAGTTGCTGCTTATGTAATTGGTGTTGTTCCTGCTGCTACTGTTGATGTTGTTGGCGTCGTCGTCGTCGTTGTTATTGTTGTTTTTGTTGCTGTTGTAATATAATCTTATTGTATTTTAGTAATTTTGCTATAAATTGCTACCATACAAATGGGTATCATTGTTTTTTCAAGTTAAAAAAAATCACCTATTTCACCAGCTGTTATATTAGTTGTGCACTGCTCCTCGTCTACCAGACCGTCACAATCGTTATCTATGCCGTCACCAGGGGAACCAACTGTGACGTTGCAAATCTGTCATAAAACAATGTAAGAATTATTACAGTAGTCTTAAATACTGACCTCCGATTATGATTCAAAAGACGTATGTTAAATTTAAAGTAAATAACTTCAGAAGTTTTAAAGATTGTTGTTGCATGTAAAACTTTAACTTAAAAAAAATAATGTGTCAGAGTTATGGGGCTTGAATGTTGACCAGCTATTAGGATCTTAAAGATATGCGCCAAGTTAAAGTTCAGTGGCTAATGAGAGTTGATGTTGTACAAGAGGTTGCGCGTAAAACTTTAACCAAAATGTTACGCCGACGTTGTCGTCGACGTCCATGTTAGATATTCATAATCATGCTAAAATGTTCCTTAATGAATTAAAATTCTTTATGTTAAAGCGCAATAATTTTACAACTACCGTTCAGAGAGCGGGGTTTTCCTGGAGGTGTGGGATGCATGGGTAACGTCACACCAACACTGAAGGTCATAAAGCGTTTTTCCAGCTTTACTGGTGAAGGAAAACCTATCACTCCGTGCATTATTATTTTAGGCACGAACGGGCACACCTGAGTAGTGTGTAGAACCACCGACTCACATGAAAGAGGTAAAAAGGATTCAAACCAACAGAGATGAGGGACAAGTACATGTAGTTTGAACTCAATGACCTTAACAAATCGGTCATGGACGCCCCTAAGCAGACGATTACATTAGTTGCAAATGTAAATTAGTTTCTTATTAAAATTGTACATGATAATAACCTTGTTACTTAAGCTGTTTAGTTAAACATTTACTAAAACAGTAAAAACTTTTGTTAAAATTAATTATATACGAGAATCTTTTTTTATATAATTTACTGTATGGTTTAGAGATATTTTCTGTCCTCAAGTATTATATTTTACTATGAAAATAAACAATTATCCCATGTAACCTACATACATTCTATTAAAAATGATATATATCGGTTACGTTCATTTTTTTTAAATGGGTAGTCTTTTTATAATGTTTGTAGTTTTTATATTTTATCTTAAAAAATCAATTATTGGTTAATCACCATTGTAATAACCAATCTCTTGATATTATATTACTAATTCAACTCAACTTGACAGTCAAAGAGATGGGCAAAGAATTTGTCAATCTATTTATGTGAATACTCATATACGACGTCAACTATTTATAAGGATGTGAGTCAACACATTCATATGGCTATGACGTCAAATGCTCACACAATTCTTTTAAACCAAATATACATGTAATTAGTTTGGGTATATGGGGAATATTCTAACAAAACCTTAAACATAATATAGAAAACGCATCTAACTAACTTTGTTAATATCTTCGTACAACATATCGCCGGCGATTATGTAACTGCCAACGTCGGCACGAGTTAAGAAGTACAAAAGGAACGTGTTCTGATAGACATATATTCCCGCACTTGAGCTTATAGTATTAATATTCTGTATAGGTAGTGGTTCTACTGGTTGACCGTCTTCGTCGACACCTATCCTTAAACTGCAGACGAAAATATAATTGAGCCGTGTCACGACAAAACCAACATAATGGGTTTGCGACCAGCATGGATCCAGACCAGCCTGTGCATCCGCGCAGTCTGATCGAATCCATTCTGTTCGCTGTCAGTTTCTTTACTTGTAATAGGGTCTGTAAGCGAACAGCATGGATCCTGATCATACTGCGCGGATGCGCAGGCTGGTCTGGATCCATGCTGGTCGCAAACCCATTATGTTGGTTTTGTCATGACACGGCCCAAATTTATTATATATAATACATTTCAGTGTAATTTAAATAGGGAGAACATTTAAAAAGCTGTTTATGCAATAATTAGCTTTTATTTTCTTAATTTATTCATTTATTTAATTAATTTATTATTTTCTTTCTCATTTACATATTTTTTGAGTGATAAATAAGAAACGCCAAATGTGTTGTAAAAAAGATTGAAATAAAATATCTTACATTTCTATATTTTCCATGTTTATATAAGCTTTTCAAGAAAACTATTTGTTGCTGTAATAATGCACGGTTTCCTTCACATATGTAAAATAATTTTCTCTTTTAACTTTGCTTGTTTGCATATTGTCAAATATATAAATTCAATAATAACCCCGAAAATAGCGGCAAATTTTATCAAAGGAGCCAGGCATTTTATTAAAAAAATTAGAAACCATGTGCATACAGTCCATGTAACCAATCAAAAACTGTATAATTTTCTATCACACGTTTGTTTCGTGTGGCTTAAAGCAGCATGCCGAGCTAAAGTATTTCAAGACAATCAAACGTGAAAAAAATGTATCAGTAAAAAGTTTTCCAAATTCAAGAAATAATGTACATGTTATATGCGAGTAATGACTGGTACTGAAGGTTTTTTTCACCATTTTTCTATTGTGAGATAAATCAGTAAGGATTATTTTTGAATATTTTGACCTCTTTCTTGGTAATTTACTCGGATTGAAAGTGCTGTTTGACACGTGACAATTTCTTCACAACTACATTTACAAAATTTGCACGAAAATTAGCATGAATCCGGATACATGCCGCTTGAAGTTCTTTGTTTTTGTAAGTTTGTGTTTTGTGTCATAGTCGCTATTTTGATATTTTTATATTTCGTGAATATACATGTATAATCTATTTACAGTATTTTAATATGGGTTTGTTTATATACACCACTTGAAGGAAGGACAGTTGCTTACGATGTCACAATACGCCCCCTTCGCAGCTCACTGAATACATTCACGTTACACCAGTAAGAAAGTGAGCGATAGTGAAACATTTGACCAATACACTGGAGAGGAGATGTCAGAAAAACTTGTCGAACTCTTTTGCTCTTTGTTATGAGTGTTGCTATATGTTCAAGCAGCGTGGCTTAATTTCATGAACATTTTAAAAATGTATTAAAAAGTAAAATATTTTCAAGTGAACAAAGAAAATACATGTAATTGACAAATTGCAAACGGTACTTTCAATCCACAAAAAAATCCAAAATAAAGTCAAAATGTGCAAAATAAAAACCCTTCCTGCATAACACAAAGAAGAAATGAGCCGCGTAATGACAAAACCAACATAATGGGTTTGCGGCCGACATGGATCCAGACCAGCCTGCGCATCCGCGCAGTATGATCAGGATCCATGCTGTTCGCTTACAAACTCTATAACAAGTAGAGAAACTGATAGCGAACAGCATGGATCCTGTTCAGACTGCGCGGAAGCGCAGGCTGGTCTGGATCCATGCTGGTCGCAAATCCATTATGTTGGTTTTGTCGTGACGCGGCTCAAATGTGGTGAAAAATACAACAAAATCAGCAATTAATTTTCACGCAACATGTCAATTATTACATGAATTGAAAATATTTTTTACTTTTAATAAAATCTTAGTTCAATTTTTCTTCAGGTTGATGTTCTTGAAATGTTTTGGCTTATTTAGAGGTGTGCAGCTTCAAGTATCATTTGTATACAAACAGCAATAAAATATTATATTTAACTACTCGTATGAGATAACTTTAATCTGTGTTCTATGCGTCACAGTACTGTCGCTCTGCTAACTGTAATTTTCTTTTTTATATAAAAGCACAGACGCTTGGGGGTCAGATCCTGTCCCCAACATGATACGCCTCTGTAAGCACTCTATCAAAACTATTTTAATATTTAAATACGAATGGGACATCTATTACAACGATGAAAATGGTTTTCAAACAATTTTTACATATAATAATGTACTTGATGGTATACGGTAAAAGTGACATTAAAAGTAATATTAACCGAACAATTAATTTTGTCATTCAAGTCTTCCGAAAATCAAACAGATTTTTATTTTAAACAAGAACACATTATTTTAACACTTAATTGAAAACATTTCTTTTTTATTTATTGTGGAATTCTTAATTATGATTTGTTACACAGTGCTCAAACTATATCCGTCTCCACCGTACAGAATCTTACCCAAAGCCAATTCCCATGCTGGTCAGGGAACCCGGAAAGAAATGTTTGGTCTTGTACTGTTGCACTGGTGGTATTGTCGTCACAGATGCCCATGTGCTAGGTGAAGCCAGTGATCGTAACAGAAGGTGTACTTGAATTGGCTTTGTTGACGTAATGTTATAGACCTAATTAATTTAATATAGACACACAATATGGTTATTCTACATAAACAACACGTGATTTCTTGCATCACTGACCCTGTATTTTTTTCGAAATTATCAACAAACAGTTGAATCATGAAAAGGCAAATTAATGACAATGACGATAATTTTTTTTAACATTAAACATTGTGCAAATGTTTATAGCCACAAATGATGAAAAATTTCCAAAGCATATCCCATAATCACAAAGGCACAACAAAACCTTAGAAAACATATTGCAGATTTACTTTACAGTATGGATTTGTTCATGTAATTATGTTATCGGTAAAGTTTTCTGTTCTTTCAATAAGAATGTTTATCAGACCAACTTATAGTCCCGGCAAAATCTCTAACAAGGAATACAAACATAAAAGTTTCTTAATTTTTAATTGTTAGTAAGCTGAATTTTGAGTGCATTGTGGAGTATAGCACAATCGCAACTTTTCGGCCCTTTCCGTCAGTCTCCGGATAAAGAGATATATTATCATGAAAAATATTCGAGGAGTTCCGATTGGGTATGGAGTTCGGATGCGCAGTAATATGATTTACAAAGGCATTACTAACAAACATCTGAACGATATGCCGTTAAAAAACTGCCACATTCAAAATCGAGATCTGTTTACATGGTTTACATTCTTACACTAAAAAGTAAACATTTTTGTCAATATTGTATACAAGCTATTTCAATCTGTTGAAGAAACACTGGCGATAAATTTCCAATTTAAGTATAAATTTTGAAAAACGTTGTTTTACCTAGCTAATATTGTTGTTGATGAAGGTAATCTTTAAATCTAGGATTACAGAAGAAACGAACATGCGCATCGTAGCGTATATCAATGCATATCGTATGGGAGGGGAATAAGAATGACGGGTGTGATCGATGTCGTATGGGAGGGAGTAATGCAAGTTTGCCGCCTTTTTTAATTATATAGAATTATTTCCGGTTTAATAATTTCCAATACTACGGCCATAAAAATTCTAACTGTAAAGGCTTCAAACAAAATGCAATAGCCTCGACCGAAATGCCATATTACTTGAACCAGACAATTATATGCAAAAGTCACGTGAATTCACATGAAACATACCGTTTTAAGTTCGACTTTACGAGAAAAGATGTTTCCTGTCATTTCAACGGTGTCCAGATTATCATAGTTTCCCCGTATTATAACAACGGTACTGTCTTCGGTTGCAACCAAACGTATTTCCGCAGTTTCTGAACCTGCGTTGTAAGGTATCTCCGGAATAAAGTATTGTGTTCCCAGTGATTCGAGTGGCGGTATCTGTACCAGGTTGTCGTCTGCTCCACAAAATACGGCCATAGGGCGGTTAGCTGTAATGCGTTTTTGGTGCCCAAGGTCTGCAAAAAAGTATAATGTAAATAATACAGGAGTATTCGTTGGAAAGCACCACCTCATACTTCCAGCGGATAAACGCAGTCACTCTTCCATGTTTTGTAAGACTATACTATTCAATATGTACCGTTTCTTGCAAGAAACTGATTTTCCGATTCTTGTACACAAATTTCTTTTTTTTTTCTTCATAAGAGTATTTTCTTGCGAAAACAGGAGCAGTTATCCTGGTATTGCATGTTATCTTTAATTTATACTATAACAATTAACTGAATATTTGTCTGATATCATCTCGCCATACTGTAACAATTAACTGAAATTTTGTATGACATCATCACGCCATACTGTAACAATGAACTAAATATTTGTTTGATATCATAACATCACGCTGTAACAATTAACTAAATATTTGTTTGATATCACACATCATACTGTAACAATTAACTGAAAATTTGTTTGATATCATCACGTCATTCTGTAACAATTATCTGAATATGTGTCTGATATCATAACGTCATACTGTAACAATTAACTAAATATTTGTTTGATATCATCACGCCATACTGTAACAATTCACTGAATATATGTTTGATATCATAACATCATACTGTAACAATTAACTAAATATTTGTTTGATATCATCACGCCATACTGTAACAATGAACTAAATATTTGTTTGATATCATAACATCATACTGTAACAATTCACTGAATATATGTTTGATATCATCACGCCATACTGTAACAATTCACTGAATATTTGTTTGATATCATAACATCACGCTGTAAGAATTAACTAAATATTTGTTTGATATCATAACATCATACTGTAACAATTCACTGAATATTTGTTTGATATCATCACGCCATACTGTAACAATGAACTGAATATTTGTTTGATATCATCACGTCATTCTGTAACAATTAACTAAATATTTGTTTGATATCATCACGCCATACTGTAACAATTCACTGAATATTTGTTTGATATCATAACATCATACTGTAACAATTAACTAAATATTTGTTTGATATCATCACGCCATACTGTAACAATGAACTAAATATTTGTTTGATATCATCACACCATACTGTAACAATTCACTGAATATATGTTTGATATCATAACATCATACTGTAACAATCAACTAAATATTTGTTTGATATCATCACGCCATACTGTAACAATGAACTAAATATTTGTTTGATATCATAACATCATACTGTAACAATTCACTGAATATATGTTTGATATCATAACATCATACTGTAACAATTAACTAAATATTTGTTTGATATCATCACGCCATACTGTAACAATGAACTAAATATTTGTTTGATATCATAACATCATACTGTAACAATTCACTGAATATATGTTTGATATCATCACGCCATACTGTAACAATGAACTAAATATTTGTTTGATATCATAACATCATACTGTAACAATTCACTGAATATATGTTTGATATCATCACGTCATTCTGTAACAATGAACTAAATATGTGTCTAATATCATCACGTCATACTGTAACAATGAACTAAATATTTGTTTGATATCATAACATCATACTGTAACAATTCACTGAATATATGTTTGATATCATCACGCCATACTGTAACAATGAACTAAATATGTGTCTAATATCATCACGTCATACTGTAACAATTAACTGAAAATTTGTTTGATATCATCACGTCATTCTGTAACAATTATCTGAATATGTGTCTGATATCATAACGTCATACTGTAAAAAAATTAACTGAATATTTATTTAATATCAACGCGTCATACTGCAACAATTAACTGAATATATGTTTGAATATTTGTTTGATATCATCTCGTCACTCGGTAACAATTTACTGAATATTTGTCTGATATTACAACGTCATACGGTAAGAATTAACTATATATTTGTTTGATATCAAGGCGTCATACTGTAACAATTAACTGAATATTTGTTTGAATATATGTTTGATATCATCACGTCATTCTGTAAGAGTTAACTGAATATTTGTTTGATTTAACGTCATATTGTAACAATTAACTGAATACTTGTTTGTTATAACGTCATATTGTAACAATAAACTGAATATTTGTTTGATTTAACGTCATACTGTAACAATTAACTAAGTATTTGTAAGATAATGTTATAATTACCTGAGTTATATATTCCCTTTGTTATATTAATCATGTTGCTTACAGGTCCAATGTTTGATTCGGTGTTGTCATGAAAGGAAAATCCTCTGCAAAGTGTTGCTGAGAGAAAGAAAAGAAAAATACTGACATTCAAATATGTTACAAAATTAAAATGATTTTTGCGCAAAAATGTACAATTCCTACTTCTTAATTAGTTCATATGAATATAATGCACCCCAACTCCCACTTTGCAATTCCTTTTGGGATGAAGTACAGGGGATGTCAGGTTTCTCAAGTCCCAACACTGGTCAAAATGCAATAACATTGTTATTGTATCAAAATACAGTGGAACATGTAGATTGTTGTCTAATAAACGGAAGTCAGGGTTTCAGCGGGATTTCTGAAAATGCAAGAATCAAACGTTCCCAGTGTTTCCTGGGGGTTAGGGACGGCGGTGTACCTTTTGACTTGCGCGTAAAATTTGACAATGATATTAATTAACATTGTTACAGACAAATTATAAAAGGCAAGCTTTAAATGACGCAGAAACAGATATACCCCGTCGCTTCATGCATTATTAAAGACATGGACTAGCACTTGAACACAACTCCGGACGTTAGATATGAAGAGCAGAATATTTCCTCAAACGAAATCTCACACGACTTTTAACTTGTTTGAAGCAGTGTCCTAAATCAAAAGGAAACGGAAGGTCTAGATATGTAAAAATGTCAATGTAACTGACAAAACAATAAAACGGTATAAATGACATACATGTTTCTTCAGCCAGTTATAATCGCAACTTTTCGAGCTTGATTTTTTTATTCTGATTGTAAGACATTTTTAATGTCACATATCATAATATAACCCAAATACACTTTACTTTCCTATGGATATTCAAAAAATACATTCGTTACTCATTAGCACATATTTGTTTTTACTAGGGCATCACAATCCACGTGGTAGAACTACTTTCGATCCGTTTTATTTCCGATATGTTTACGTGTGATTGGCGAGATGTTCCGAATGATACTACATGTAGTTTGTCAGATACAGAATTGTCTGGAGACACACCTGAAATAATGTCTAGTTATGTGTAAAAATCATGATCACGCAGGAAAATAACATTGGCCACACAGTGTTCCATAATAAAGAGAAGAAATAATACGCAAACTTTGATGCCTACATATTAACATGAAACGCTTGAAACTCGTACGAGCAATGTAATGTCTGGCGCTTTATGGCGGGTTAACTTCATCATTTGTACCCATATGTTAATTTAATATATTCGGATAGATACCACATGAAGTGACCGGTATTCAGGAGTGTGATGTTTGAATATCCCACTATATAACAAAGTCAAATATTACCAGTAATAAGAGCAGTGATGTTGTAATTTAATTCTTTATAAAAGCAAATCTTATTTGTGCCGAAGCCACGTATTTATTCGTGCAATCATGTAAATTACTAACCAGAATCTGGGGTAGAATCAGCCTCATACGAACTATCTAGGTAGACGTGGTAGTTTGGTCCAAGAATATCAACGGGTAAAATTGAAAATCCAATTTTCTTCGACCAGGTGGTGGTCATTATTGCGTAAACCGAAATTTCATTGTCTGATTCAATAATTACAACCTGCGAAAAAAAAAATCAGGTTTCGTTTTGTCATTGGATTATAATTATAATTATTATTATTGTATTTTTTATTATTATTATTATTATGATTATTATTATTATTATTATTATTATTATTATTATTATTATCATCATCATCATCATTATTATTATTATCATCATCATCATCATCATCATCATTATTATTTTCATCATCATCATCATCATCATTATCATCATCATCATCATCATCATCATCATCATCATCATTATCATCATCATCATCATCATCATCATCATAATCATCATCATCATCAGTTGCAATTTGTTTTTATAGTGGCGATGAACATGTATAATGTTTCTTTCATGAAGTAATAAATATACATAGCATTTGTTTGATTTAAGCACACATACAAAGTACACATGAGAACTGGATATTTTATATTCTTGTCTATGGTGTCACGAAACGGCGTCTTAATAATAATACTCGTGTTAAACGTTTAACCTACCGTACTAAAAGATTTCTATTTTATTTTTAACACTAATTTATATTGATATAAAATACAACATGTAGTATAGGCTAAGCAAATTTTATGTTTATCTTGTTGTATTCAACAACCATTACAAAACATATTCTGTTAAGGAGTAACTGTTGTCCGTGAGACCGTACTGTATAAGATAACATAGTATGCAATCGGAAAAAAAAAAAAATGTCATGTCTTGACATAAAGAAACTAATGTAATGCTTAAAATCAATCTTAAATTTCTAAGGTTCCCAGCTTACCTCAGTTACCGGTTATTGAAATTTCTAACTGGTTTTAGGCTAAAAACGGACCTAATCCGTTTCAACGGATAAACATGACTCCAATAAATACAAGTTCATGTAAATCCTTTTGAAATATTTAAATAAAAATAAAAGGTATTACTCGATCAATATGATCCGACCAGTCTGATTTCTATTACCTTAATTACATTCAGAATCGTCTGCGGATATGCACGTCATAGAAATTCAGTTTATTATAGGACAATACTATAAATTTCATACTTTTCCCAAGGTTTATTCGTATTGTGTTTAATTAACGGCAATATGCATGACTTTTTGGAAAGTAGGTCAACGAGTAGGTTAGACGATACTAAGAAAAACAATAAACGTTCCTGTTGAGCTGTTATTCTTACTTAAATCAGTGTATTTTGTCCGTTTCTTTAGATCGATAACTCGGAGAAATTTCGTCACTTCCGGTATATATCATTTACTTTGGAATGTTTTTGTTTTTTTGCAAACAAAAAGTTATTATTCCACTTCACATGTCTGTATAAAGTCAAAGCCACTTAAAATCCTGTAAATAATAGCAGACATTTCCATTTTTTTTTAAAAATCATTCCCTAAATAAAAATGTTTACGGGAAGTATCAAAACATGCCGAAATTTCACGAGCTCGTGATGATGAATGTTGTAACACCGCACTTTGGGGTCAAACGCACTTTGGGGTCCGACCCCAAAGTGCGTTAAACTTCGCACCGCACTTTGGGGTCAAACGCACTTTGGGGTCAAAATCGAGAAATTGACCCCAAAGTGCGTTAATATGCTACATATCAACGCACTTTGGGTTCCAGAGATCTAAAGGTGTCATCTAAGATCTGCTTAAATACTGAGGACTGTGCTATGCGCTAAATTATAGGTTCTACTGAATGTGGATTGTATCACAACACAATGTTCCGTTTTATATTTTAATGTTTCTTTCTTAGTGGAATACCACAGATAATATATAACATATACACAGGTTATCCTGATGTTAACAAATTAATATTAAAAACAGTAACAATTATTTCTAGTGGAAAGCCACAATACAATGTTATCACTTGGAAATCCAAAATCTAACTGACTCTAAATTTTCTACATGTATCTTTACAATAATTCTAAAATTGATTTCGTTTTAACTGACCAATAGAATTTTAACCTTTTTGTGTCTTAAATAACAAAATGACCAATCAGGTTTCAATACAAAATAATGTAACATAGCAACATAGAATTTATAACAACAATCATCACCTGGATATTTTATCAGTCATAAGGTTTAACAACATGATAAGTACAGACAGCTTAATTGACCTTATCACCTATATATTATAAAACTTTTAGCACAGTTGATTGGACAAAGAGGAAAAGCCGCATTTTAATCTTCCAGTTACATAATTTTAAATTTGACATCTGTTATTGAAACATATACAATTTGTAACTTAACATATTTGAAATTTCACAAATTTTGTTTTAAAAATATGACCTTTTAGAAAATGATTATATATATAAATATGTGTGTTTAAAAGAAAATCATCATGCATATTTATTCTTTTTTTTTTAAATGAATTTTATCATTTTTCGGCTGCACAACAACTGCGACATTGAAATATTTGAGGTGGAGTTCAAGATGGCGGTCAATACATATTTTTTTTTTAGTTTTGCATTCATATTTTATTTTAGTTTTTCGTACATATTTTATTTTTGTTTTTCGTACATATTTTAGCCAATCAAAAGAGCCTTCACACCTCATAACAGCCCATAGTTGAGTATAAAACTAGCACAGTGGTTTGGTCACATTTCGACCCATTTGTGGAATCGGCCCAGTCGTTTTCGGCCGGGCAAGTCTGGTTTCGGCCGACCTTTTTCGGCCCATTTTTTAAATTATATGTATTTTATATATTTTTTTATTATTATATACTATTATATTAGTGTCTATTTGGAAAGGGCTGAAGATTGGTGATTAGTTATTATTATGAATATGCACCACTCAACCCCACGCCCTGAGAATAGCGGGGGGGGGGGGGCATTGACTTTAAAACCAAGCCGACCACTGGTAAAATCTTCGCCCTGCGGGGGATACTCAGATAACAACATTCCTGCCTCATGCCCCGGACGGGGCCAACATCAAAGCACGATTCTTTTTTAACCCGCACTCCCCGGGGGCAAGAGAGGTGGTTACAAATGACTGGTGTATTACAATAATGCTCAACAAAAAATCTAAAAAGGTCATTATATTCCACTGATTTAGAAAAAATGCTTAAAGCTAAGCTTTGAAGGATTTTTATGAAAATTGGGTCAATTCTTTTGCACATCCAGATTATGTGCAGAACTTATATGCCAGGTGTGCCGGCTCAAGGTCGGGGGACACACCTACAGGTCAAAGGATTAAGATTTGGGTTTCATGCCCGCTCCTTATTTCCAAAACCCCATAAAGGATTTTCAGGCACTTTGTGTAAAATGCTAACCACATCGAGACAATATGCAGAACCTTTCTTTGGGTTACCGCGGACTATATGTATACTATATGTGTTGTTATTTTTTTTTATACCTCCAAAATGAAAATGTTGGTATTTGCAAATAGCATTTGCAAATGGGGTACTGTAATTTACAGATGGCGAAGTGTTTAAAAATGGCGTTTTACAAATGGCGTAATTATCCAAACCTCTACTTTGCAAATTGCGTCATGTAAAAATATGTACTAAAAAAAACAAAAATAAAATATGTACAAAAAAAAAACTAAAATAAAACATGTATGCAAAATTAAAAAAGAATATGTATGCAAAACTAAAAAAAAAAGTATGTATTCAAAACTTAAAAAAATATGTACGACAAACAAAAAAAATATGTACGAAAAACAAAAAAGTATTGAAAAAAAATGCAAATGTCACTTTTATGCCACCGTTCAAAATACTCTAGTACAGAAATTGTGTATTCCTTAAATTAAAAGATGCTGCGAAAAATGTCCCGTTCTGTCAGTCATTTACTTGATAACTTTTGGTGCCATATTGAGCCCCATTTTAAATATGTTGGGAATGAAATAAAATGCAGTTATTTTTTCCAAAGAACTATAAATATACTCTATTGCAATGTTCTGGTGAAACATCAAGTTTTTCGATCGGACTATTAATAGTGATTTTTACAAATACATTATTAAGCTTATCAACAAACTTAAGGGTTTTTGTAAGCTCCGTAACAACCGTTCGCCAGGGGAAACGGACAAAAGCGCCCCCGCCCTCTTTCAACATATCATCAGGCACATTTTTTTACTGAAATGTCTTGCTAAAATTGCCCAGAATTTATACCTTTGCCTATGCTAAGACTATCATATTTCTATAAAATGTGTAAATAAAAAACGGGAAAATAGTCCATTTCGCTAAAAACAATGGAGTTAATTAAAGGTGTACATTCTTTTAAAATAAATGGAAAATTTGAGAAAAAATTATTTTAAGCTTAATAATTGATACAAATTCTTTTTTAGGTGATTTATTTGGTGAAAGTTCTTCGCTTACTTATCAAGACCATTTAAATCCCTATTGATTCTACTATAATCCAGGGCACATGTTTTGCGTCTTTTTGATACCTTGATTTTTGTTTACCATTCGCTTTGACAACAATATATTATTTAAAACATAATGAACAATAATTTTCTATGACCCTAAAGTGCGGTCGTTTGCCTGATGTTAAAAAATACATATGTACCTGTTGAACGCACTTTGGGGTCGAAATTGGACCCCAAAGTGCGTAACGCACTCTGGGGCCGGACCCCAAAGTACGTAACGCACTTTGGGGTTGGACCCCAAAGTGCGTTTGACCCCAAAGTGCGGTGTTACAAATGTATTACTTTAATATACATCGATATCTTTTTACCTTCTCATTGCTAAGATCGGCACTTGTCTTCATTAATGTTTGTACAGACGGAACAATAACATTATCAAGAAGAATCGTCTTGTCACTGGCTTTCAGAAATCGAACCTTGGCGATTTCTGAGAATGGATTTGTTAGATATATATTATAATTATTGTGACCAAGGAATGGTGCCAAAAACGTTGTCCCGTGATTGTCTGCTTTGTCTGAAACAGAATACATTTAAATGTTTAATAACGATATATGTTTGTTGTTGGTGTTGTTTTCATTATTGTGCGTGCGTGCGTGCGTGTTTTGTTTTGTTTTTACGCTTTTCGTTTTATGTTGTTTATTTTTCGTTTGTTGTTGTTTATGAATTTTCTGCTGCTGCTGCTCTTTTAATCTGCTCTGCTTTCCTCTGTCACTTTATAATACAAAAATGATTGATATTTACCAAGTAAAATCAACGCAAGTTCACACGTAAGAACTGACTTCTTTAAAATAATAACTTCAATCATAAAAAGACCTTTACGTTTCTTCTTCGTGTGTAAATATATCACCAGTAAGACAGAACAAAATCTGATACCAATCCAAGTATAATAAACGGATGTCAAATGATTTCAAATTAGGATCTCAAAAACAGGAGCATAGAGTAACAAATGATCAATTTACATAGGAGCACGATAAACGAAAGTCATACATGCTCAAGTAACGAAGGAGCATAGTAAACGGAAGTAACAAATGCCAAAGTAACAAACAAGCAAAGTATACAAAAGTTACATATGCCCCGAGTCACAAAGGAGCATATTATACAAAAGTTACAAATGCCCCGAGTCACAAAGGAGCATAGTATACAAAAGTTACAAATGTCCCAAGTCACAAAGGAGCATAGTATAAAAAAGTTACAATTGCTCAAGTCACAAAGGAGCATAGTATACAAAAGTTACAAATGCCCCAAGTCACAAAGGAGCATAGTATACAAAAGTTACAAATGCCCCAAGTCACAAGGGAGCATAGTATAAAAAGTTACAATTGCTCAAGTCACAAAGGAGCATAGTATACAAAAGTTACAAATGCCCCAAGTCACAAAGGAGCATAGTATAAAAAAGTTACAATTGCTCAAGTCATTAAGGAGCATAGTATACCAAAGTTACAAATGCCTAAGTCACATAGAAAACGGAAGTAATATATGCTGAATTCACGTTGGAGGATAATTAATTTAAGTCACAAATGCCCTATTTTAAAAGGTGCCAGTAAACGGGAGTAGTAAACAAAGGTTATTTCAACTTTATGTTGAACTGAACATACAATGGTGAAATTTTAGTAAAACTAGTGAATATCAATAAAGGAGTCTAAGTAACTTTGTTCCATGCATATAATTAGATCGAAAGAAATACAAAATTTTTATATATGTATACTAAGAAAACATAACACAAATTTTAAAAAAGTTATAAGTACTATAGTTACGTAGGCTTACTAGAATCACTTAACATTTCCAATTTACTTCACACTATTATATACATTTCTGTACAATGCACTTGTTAACATTGCAAGACATTTTAGTTTACATACCTCCGCTTATCACTTTGCTACAGTCTTTATCAGGTAGATCTACAAATAAAAAAAATGTGTTCATTGTCTGAAATTAGGACATACAATATTACAGAAGAACAAACTGTAAGCTAGATATTTTAACAAAGTAGTTCGATAGTATTAAGCCAAACGACAAAAAAGTTAGCAATTAATTGTATCAATACATACAACAGTTTAAGGTAAACATTAAGTTTGTACGAATATAGCAATAGCGTCAAAGTACTTTGCAGCATAGTTTTCTAAACAACAACAGCAGCTGAGCTTCAATAATTACATTCAGTCTTGATTGTTTTATTTTCACAATGATAGTTTTGCTCTTTATTTGGCCGAATGCCGCCTAAAATCAGTTTGACTTCTTGTAACATTTATGGGGAAGAACTAAATATAAGGTCATTCTAAAATTACAAACTGAAATCTGTGAATCTCATTGGTCATTCTAAAATATGTAAAATAATATAAAGGATCTTGATAACTTTTTGTTCTAGGTCAGAAAATCGCTTCTACGTTGCAGAGAGGAGATATTGCCCGTACATAAAATAGCACATCAACCGGCTCGTAGTACAGTTTGTTGGACTTACCCTTCTGAGATTCCTGCATAACTGTTTGCAATTTGTACGAATAATTACTGTCATTATTATATTATTAAACAGGCACTGCTGATATATCTTCATGAATTAAAAAAGCCGAAATGATTTTTGCAAGTAAAAGCTGATATTTACCTAGACCAAGTCTCCTTTTTAAAAATATTTATTGTTTACAATTATCACCTGCTTTCATTTTGTAAACGAAAACCTGCAAAACCAATTAACGACATTACCCACAATTTTATTCGGGATATGTCGGCTTATTTCGTGTCTCATTAAGATAAGTTCTTAACTTTTTTTACTCTTCAGTCCCTCTATTTCTTCTCTCAAAAACGATTTATTAGACAATTTTAAGATAAAAATATACTGGTATATTATAGTCTGAACCATTTCCGTTTAAGGACGATTGGTGTTAAATATATGAAATACATGTATATGTATAACAAAAATTGGCATGCTACAGATATTCGAGAAATCCATATTTCATCGATAGTTACCTATTCATTTCTTGTTTGTTCTGGTGACGTTATAAATCAGTTAAAACAACAAAAATAAAAACAGTTGGCCGAGATTTATGCTGTTTTGTTAAAACACAAGGAATTGACGCTGGGAGTCATATGATATTATCAATTTCTTTTAAAGATTTAATAGGAACAAACTTTGTTCTCTCAAGTGATCAAAACTTTATTAAGCAGTACAACTTACCAACAACAAATTCAGCAGGACTGGTAAATGACGTCAGAAGCATTACGTCGTAATCGATTGTCTTGGTATCGATTATAAAAGTGTACATTTCGCCAGTGCTATTTTTCTGAGTTAGAACATATAATAATGAAAATATGAAGAAAAAAACACCGATAAAATTATAACTAAAGTAGATATAAAGCAGTTCCTTTCTTTTTTTTCAAGTTTTTTTCTATTATCAAATTGAAAATACATTAAGACAACCTGATTATAGTTTTGAATGTAACTTATGTGTTTCGTGAAATAAATATGTATATTTAACACATTCAAAACTTTTTTTTCATATTCTGAATACCTAAGGCATTTGTCAAACTAATAAACTAAAGTAATAGAAAGAGCATCGAAACAGAGGCTATCTGATTTGTTCCAGGGGACGTAGCCCCCGAGTATTAATTCGATTGCCAAGTGTTTTGATGTTCTTTTCTTTTGTATCATAGTCAAACATACATGTAAAAACACGTTTCCTGTTGTCACAATATGAAACCCCGGAAAAAGGTAACCAATGGACAAGCATTTGAATATGATACTTCTATCGCTTTCCCTTTCTCTGCCGTCACAATATGTAAACCCCAGCAAAAAAAGAGCCAATCAATGGGTATGCTCTGAAGAAGGAAGCTGGTAAAGTAGGAATTATCTACTTTTAATGAGATAACCGCCGTTGCTTCAGTGCTTCATTCACGATTTGGTTGTTACCTCGTAAAATAGTCTCACATTTTATCTGCTAATTTAAGTGTAATATGACACGAATAGATTGGAAAATGTTTCAGGTACACCGAATATAAAAAATCGTTAAGTAATACATGTATGTATATTGTATTTAAAGATATCAATGAAACTAAAAATCGCCATAACGCTTCGCGATTTTTTATCAGGGGAGAGAACTACGTTTTCATAAGTCTATATGGATTACTCGCCCCTGATGAATACTGATTAACTACATGTATTTCCTGGTTCTTTATGTTCTAATAATCTGTTATGTGATAGAATTACATTCTTTATTTAATTATTCCTTTTTTACGAAAGGGACTATTCTTATTTTCATACACCAAACATTGTTAAAGGTACATTTTGCCTCAGAAACAAATAGTTTTATTCCTTTTTTAGAAGTTTATAGAAACTAAATAATGGTTTATTTTAAGAACAAGTAAGATGCGTATCGCCTTCTTTAATACATAATACTAAATCACTGTAAGTGTACTAAAACATAATACTAAATCACTGTAAGTGTAAAAATTGCAAAAAAAAAAAAAAAAACAGGAGCAAGAGATGATAATTGGCCAATGAGTAACTTTTTTGAAACTATAATATGACACAAACAAAAATGACAAGCTTTCGAGAAATAAAAATTATAGCATTACTGAGGCATAATGGTCCCTTAAATTTTCAAAGTTAATTAATAGTAAAAGCAAGAATGTTTCTTCAAGAAAATTACATGTATTTTTGTTCATAATAATACATAACGATCTCATTCTCCCATTTTAAAATTGCTATTGTATTATTTCTATTATTTCTATTTTTTTTTTTTTTTTTTCTTATGTGCATAATTATGTTCATAGCATTGTTACTATGTTTTACTTTACTTTGTTGAGCCTTCAGGTATCGATCGACAAACACTCGAAAATAGCTGCATGTCAATGTGTAAGCATACCTGAATCTTTACAGTACTTAACTAAGTATTTCAGAAACGTTTAGGGCTCAAAATTAAAAATGGATACCAATTATTTAAACTTTGATGAAAATGTCATGTACCCTCACCGCTGTGGGTTCGAATCCCGACAGGGACTTTAGATTCTTTCTTGTAAGTATTCAACAAGCTTACGGAACGTCGGAGGTCCTACTCGAGTGCCCTTTCGTGCCTGAAATAATGCACAAAAGGCACCCGAGGTTTCCTACGCCAGTTAAGCTGGAAAGTCGCCATATGACCGATACTGTATTGGAGAGAGGACCCCCCCCCCCCCACACACACACACACCCCAGATGTAATTTCACACTCTCTCCGATCCCGGGGAAAAGAGAGCTAGATATACCAGCCGATATTATGGCACTTGATAAAAATAACACCACAGTTGTAATATAATGTTAGTAGTATACTTACAAAAACATGCTCAGTTCCTACCAATGACGTTGGTCTGTACCAATGAATTTCGTAATTTTGTTTAGTATTACAATCGGAAACGGAAATGGGGAGGACAGTTTGCACTATGCAAGCGGGTGAGCATGTCTGTATGACAACGCTTGATGATGTAATCTGCATAAAATAAGAAATAAAAGATGAGTAAATGTATTAATTCAATGAATAAATAGTTGACATTATTGGTTCAATATTGAATTTATTGAACGAGTTGAATAAAAGTTATATTATGCGAGCGTCTGGCAATAATGAATGCCCCAAATCGTTTAAAGCGTAAAAGGGAAATAAGGATTATGTAAATTCTACAAATAGGAGCAGAAGCAGCAAAAGGCGCAAAAAAACACATTGAGATAACTTTTTTTTCAGACAGTAAGTGCTATGAAAATATATGTGAAAATTGTTAAATGCCAGATATTTATTACATGTATATTTTTAGAAGTTTGCCAATACAATATAGATCTACCTAAATTTGTAATTATTTTAAAGGAGAAACAAATAAATGTTCACTTCTATGGAAAAGGCAAACATGAATTTCATAATGTTTTAATTGTTTTAGCTTGTAACCCGAACAAGGTTGCGTTAAATGTGAAATTATATGCCATAAAAGTAGGAAAATGTAAACAAAGTAGTGTTTTGACTTCCATGCTAAATACTAATTCACTATAACTTCAATGAGTAACCTTTTGGACACTATAAAAGTATAACAAAATTAAAAAGCTTTTGAGAAATAAAAATAAAAGCATTTCTGAGGCATGATGGGTAAAAAATAGCACATTATCACACTAACCTGTATGCTTGTAGTTATGATCGGCTCTGCTTTCGTCTGCAGGATAATTTTTGCAATGCCACAACTTTTAACACTAAAATGGACTGGGGACGCCTTTTTAACATATATTGTTTTATAAGTTGTCTTAAAAGTTCCGGGATCTGGCGTAGAAATGAACGAAACGGCTGAAACATAAGAACTAGTATTAATTTTCTACGCCCCTGTACTAATACTGAATATCTTTCCTTAAGCTCATAACGATTCGGAAAATTTCGTCATTTTCCGTGTGATCATATAATTAGATAAGCGTCGATAGGAACAGGAACAGATATAAAAATCTTGTCAAAAAGTGCTTCTTAAGAATTCTATAGATATAGGATGTGAGGAAAAACGATCGTTTTGATCAATAAATGCATCCTACTTGAGTTTAGTCATACCTGACAACACGTTTATGTATTTTGTCTTTAAAGTCTTTATAACACTGAGAAGTTCATAGGGCGGCTTCATGCCTTACTGATTGAAGAAGAATTCAATAGCCATAAAAGTACCATTTAAGGTCGGAGCGAGCACTTTTGTAGAATCATAATAATCCTCCGTTAACTAACTGGACAACTTTCGAAAGAATCAAGGGTCTCTTGCGGGATTCAATCCCGCAGACTTCAGCAAAAACAAAGTTTAAAGTCATCCCAAACTACTTGACAACGAAGCCAAAGCGGAGGAAAGTCCTTAAATGATATGCACGTGCTCTTAGCCTGGTAATTACGGTCATTTTAAGTCCCAGTCTTTACCAAAACATTTTATAACAATATTATGTATAGAGTGTTACTATCACGCAATTTGGCTATGATTTATGAAGAAACGATCTGTTACAGCTTAAAGACAAAGTCACTTACCAAGGTCATCTTTTGTACATGTATCCTCGTCGATTTTACCGTCACAGTCGTTGTCAATGCCGTCACCAGGGGCGGGAACAGACAATACACATTTCTACACGTTAAAGATAAATAGATATTATTGTACAACTATAAATAATCATTGGTAAATGACTTTTAATGCTCTATATCTCGGTAAGTCAAAATGACTTGACTCAACAACTACTAGTCGTGACTTTTAATGGCCGGTTCTCTATGTTACCAAAACATTTTATAACAATATTATGTATAGAGTGTTACTGACTTTCTAAATGTCACAAATGAATCAAGGACTGGGTTTAAGCCTATAAATAACCAATATTTGGGTTATCAATGACTATCCAGAACACAGTATAAATATGTGATCCCATGTGTAACCATTGAGTAGACATATTAAGCCTATATTTAATAAATAACTCTTTGTTTTTACTACGCGTAATCAGTGATTGGTCTTGACTCTATCTGTAACCAATGAAGGCTGTTACCAATGACCAGACGTGATCCTTAGGACCTATATGTAACCACTGACTGGCTGTGATTCAATATGTTACCAATAACCAGCTGTGATCCTATAAGTAATCGATGATCGGTCGTGATCGTATGTGTAACAAAGTCAGCATTGATCCTGTATGTAACCATTTATCAGCCGTGATCCTATGTGTAATAATTGACCTGCATTGATCCTATCTGTAACCAGCCGTGATCCTATATGAAACAAATGACCGGCCGAGATCCTATATGTAACAAATGACCTGCATTGATCCTATATGAAACAAATGACCGGCCGAGATCCTATATGAAACCAATGACCGGCTGTTAGTCTTTATATAAAACTCACAATTAATGATCCTTTATGAAACCAATGACCAGCCGTGATCCTGTACGTAACCAATGACCAGTTGTGATCTTATAAGTAACCAATTCTATATCTAACCAATGACCGGTCGTGATCGTAGTTGTAACAAAGACAGCCAAAAATCGGCTGTTATCTCTATATAAAACTGACACCAATAATTCACTGTGATCCTATATCTAACGAATGATCGGCCGTAATTTTACATAAACGTCGAAAGGTGTTTTGAAAACATGTAGTGCAAGAAAATTTCTTTTTTGTTATCGGTATTTTTTCGGTCCGAGTTCTTGAAATATACTACAAGCGAAAAATCTGTTAAAAATCTCTTTCAATAAAAGAGCGATCAGTTCAAATGTCGTTTGTTTCCCAATTGTTAAGCTTTGTGTAGGGGGGAGACCAAAAAAACAAAAAAAGGCAAAACGCTTTTTTTTATTCAAGGCTCATAACTCCGTTAATACGCACAAGTACTAGAGGTACATATTAATCTTGTAAAGTTTCATTTAAATTGCAAACGTAGTATAAGAGAAGCAGTCAAAACAAAACTTTAGAAAATAAAAATCAATAAAGGGCCACAACTCTGACAAAAATCATTGAACCAGAAAATGCGAATGATATGCACAACTAGAAGTAGTACTGATCATTCCTGTAAATTTTGGATGTAATTACATTAGTAGTTTCTGAAAAATACTCCAGAACAACTACTGTGTAGCTGGCTACAAAAAAAAACACCTTTTTATTCAAGGGAAGTAGTCCACAATAGTATAAGAGAAGTCGTCTAAACAAAACTTTGAAAATTAAAATCATTAAAGGGCCATAGCTCTGACCAAAATCATTGACCCGGAAAATGCCAACGAGATGCACAACTAAACCTGGTACTAATCATTCTTGTAAAGTTGAAATTGCATAATTAGTTTTTTAAGGAAAAGTCCGGACAAGTTTTTTGATGGACGGACGGACGGGCAGACAGACAGACAGCGGAGAAGTGATCCCTATATGTCGCCACTACTCTGAAGAGGCGACACAAAGAACGAAAACATAACTTTTTTTCCACAGTAAGACTTCACATGAGATTTTATCTTTTTAAAGCAACACCTTTCGGCAACAACCGAACTATTTTTCTTCATAGAGGTGAATGACTACAGTCCTTGAAATGATAAGAAGAGACATAATAATTTAAATATTACCAAAACTCTTTGAAACCCTAGAAAAAATTAATTCGTTTTTACGAAATATTATTTCGTAATTACGAAATATTAATTCGTAATTACGAAATATTAATTCGATTTTACGAAATATTAATTTCATTTTTATGAAATATTAATTTCGTTTTTACGAAAAATTAATTCTTAATTAAGAAATATTAATTCGTTTTTACGAAATATTATTTCGTAATTACGAAATATTATTTCGTAATTACGAAATATTAATTGGTAAAAACGAAATGTAATGTCGTAATTACGAAATAATAATTCGTAATTACGAAATAATATTTCGTAAAAACGAATTAATTTTTTTCTAGGGTTTCAAAGAGTTTTTGGTAATATTTATAAAGAAGGCCTCGAAACTAAGTTCCTGACTAAATATAAGGCATGTAAATGCAATATAAGTAGTGATTTTTTTAACGGATTAATATTTCGTTATTACGAATAAATATTTCGTAAAAACGAATTAAATGCCGGGAAAAAGTGTCGAAAATGTCACCTTAGGGGCTCCGTACTTAATTGATGTGTATTTATCTCACTTTGTACTTCATATAAGATTCAATGGTACTGTGCGATTTCCCTGCCACTAGCCTCTAAAAAACTAAAACTTATCTTCTAACAAGAGAACAGTTACCTCATTTTCCCACTCCCAATTAACATCGTACAAAACAGCTGATGCTCCGTCACAGTAGCCATATAAAGCACGAAATTTTGAGCCCATTGATTGTCTTTCAGTACTTTCGGAAGCGCCCGTCCGAACCACAAGAACGCTGTAATCGGATGCGTTTATATATGTCGAATGAGTATACTGAGAATCCTGCGACGGACTCCAAGGAATAGATGATAGCTCATCCTTTTTAGCTGTCATGGTCAGGACACTTTTATGTGGCGTCTTTTGTAAGCAGTCCGTCCACAGGCTACGGTCTGTCCATTGCTCGACATGGGGGACTAGCACCATAGCAGGATTTCCGTGCACAATCGAAGTATAATTATAGATGTCAAGGGACATAACCTGGATGACGAGAATTGGTTTGGTTGCTTTGACAGTACTGTACAGTTCCCAGTCCACTCGCCTTTCAATTGTTTCACCCGCGTTCGAAATTGTGAAAGGCGAAAATCTGAGGATGTGAATGGTAGTGTCAACATCCTTAGTTATTATTTTCACGATATCTCCAGCATCGTTTAAATAATTTGGAGCGACAACGTGTTCGGTACCCCATTTGTTAACGGGAGGTATTTGTTCAATCATGAAAGCAGGCATTCCGTCTTTTCCTGGTACGTCACGTGCACCAACGAAAACTGCTACATTATTATTTGACGTTATGTATGTCCCCGACAAGTCAACTTTACTTTCGGTACTTTCAATATGTAGAACGTCGTTTTCATTAAGAATAAACGAGATCGGTTCCCCGGTTGAAATTATCGTTCCATTGCAAGTGATAGAACCAGGCGGAATATTGCGGGGAAACACGACATTTACCGATGTTGAATCGACAGTACCCGTCACAGCAAACTGGCAATAACCTCCCGTTGAACAATAAGTATTGACGTAATATTCCGAACCGAGGTGCTCGTCCGGTATAGCAAGATATCCGTCTGCGAGGGCGCCTTTATCATCTGACTGATACACGTGCAAAGTAAAGTTGTCATTTGACTCGAGCTTTAAACCAGTCGCATGAACGCCAACCCCGTCCGGCAAAAGAGGAAGACACCCGTCTTTTGGTAAATACATTTTCTTGATATTACCCACTGAATTCGCTGATTGCCAAACACAACCGACTTCGTTTATCATTTGGGGTTCACTTGCATCACTTTGATAATGAATTTCGCCGACCTTTTCTTGTAATTCTAAATGATTGCCATGTCTGCTTAGAAGGGCCAAATGGTAAACCATACATTCTGAAAATCGTCAAGCATTTTAAATAAATGTTTTGATTAACAAGAACCGCCTAAACTATTGCTTTTACTTGCAATGGCATCGTAAATTTCTGGTCCTAAGATATTTGGTTCAGTTAATTTCACGCATAAATACATTTGTAATCAATTAATGTTAATACAAAATTAGCTTAATGATGGTTGATAATCGTCGAAGAGATGTATTTTTATAATTTACATATGAAAACTCATGATCCCCGAGTCACGGCCCCACTGCCGTTATTTAACAAAGCTTGGAATAAATGTACATGTAATGCTAAAAGCTCTGGCCTTTATCATTTTATAGGAGTAGATTGTTTAAGCTTACTTAATATAACAATATACATATCAGGAAACCCTTAACACGTCGACCCCGGGGCAGGGTCAACACTAGAGATCTACTAGACCATGTTTATTGCTAAATATTATGCTCGAACATTTGTGGGTTCAAAGAAAGACTTAAGTTCTACTACTTTCAACATAAGGAAACAGGAAACAAATATCCCGGGAAAGGGGAAATTTTGACTAAAAGGCTATGATTTGATGGAACGAAACTTGAGACAAATTTACTGAGCTCTGGCCATTGCGGGTTCATAGGACAATTTTTAAATGTTCTTACTCTATGTACATAAAAGGAAATCCAGTGACTCAAAGAGGAGCAAATTTTGACTCCAGGGCCATAATTTTTAAACAACCTTTGTAATTGTTCACTCCATCATGCTTCTTACCATAAAGCTTAGTTGTAGCCTTTATGGTTTCAATGGTTTCAAACAGGAGATTACAGAATTTTCCAGGCAGGGCCAAGGTCCACAAGGTCATTTATATTTGTAAATTAACAAGAAATGTTGACACATGACAAATGGTATCATAAATGCTGACACATGACAAATGGCAACATAAATGCTGACACGCAAATGGTAACATAAATGCTGGCACGCAAAATGATAAAAAAAATGGGGAAAAATCTGGTTAACAAATACGAGTAAGTAATGTATATTTTTTGTGAGTGTGCTGTTCTTGTTTTTATATACATATCCTGTTTTGAACTGCCAGTGAATTTACTTTATTCACACGCTAACACAATGTTGAACTTATTGCAAATGTATTTAAAAAAACGCACGTAATCATTTTTTCTTTCTGTCTGTCGGTAGATATCAGACAAGCTAGACAACACAATAAAGTGATTTACCTGTTCTATGAAGACCTGCTGCAAACAAGAGAACACCTGTAGCCAGCAACATTCCATTCATTTTCTGTAAGAAGAGAACAATTTTATATTGTACGATCTTGTCGTGCAATCATACATTTGTAAACCAAGTTCAAGACTAACATTGACAAACCAAAATCAAAGCTTACATTGACAAACCAAAATCAAAACTAACATTGAGAAAGCAAGTTCAAACAAACATTTACTAACCAAGTTTAAAACTAACATTGACAAACCAAATCCAAACAAACATTGACAAACCAAGTTCAAACTAACATTGACAAACCAAAATCAAAGCTAAAATTGACAATTCAAGTTCAAACTAATATTGACTAACCAAGTTCAAACTAACATTGACAAATCACGCTCAAATCTAACATTGACAAACAAAGTTCAAATTAACGTTGGCAATACAAGTTCTAACTAACATTGACAAACCAAAATCAAAGCTAGCATTGATAAACCAGGTTCAAAACCGACATTGACAAACCAAGTTCAAAACAAACATTGACAACCCAAGTTTAAATCTAAAAATAAAACATTGACAAACCAAGCACAAAAATTTAATTTGCTAACAAAGCTCAAAACTAACACTGGAAAACCAAGGTAAAAAACATTTACAAACCAAATTCAAACAAAAATTGACAAAACCAACTTTAAACAAACTTTGACAAAACCAAGTTCAAACAAAACATTGACAAAACCAAGTTCAAACAAAACATTGACAAAACCAAGTTCAAACAAAACATTGACAAAACCAAGTTTAAACAAAAATTGACAAAACCAAGATCAATCAAAACATTGACAAAACCAAGTTCAAACTGACATTGAAAAACCAAGTTCAAACTAACATTGAAAAACCAAGTTCAAAACTAATATTAACAAAATCAAGTTCAAATTAACATTAACGAACTAATTTCAAAGCTGTCAGTACCATGGCATGACGAAACTTAATTATTTTCTGTAGCAGTAAATATTTAAGATATGTCTTCTTCATCAAATAAACTGTAAAATTGCTGATCTCATATATTTATTTGTTGAAGACCCGATGTTGTTAAAGAATAAAGGATATGCAGTCTTGTACAACGTCTTATTGATATGATGGTAGATATATGCAAGGTGCTTGAAACGAATATGTTTTTCCTTCTTTTAGTAAGGTCAAAGCTTTTTTATCAGTTGAGAGCATGAGCGTGTTTGCTTATCAACTATAGAAATCAGCCCTGAAATGCAAAATCAATTGCATAAAGTGTCAAAATGTAAAAGTTTACTATTTTGACTTCCATATTAAATCACTATAACTGTACTTATAGCCAAAAAGCAACAGAAGCAAAAGATGGTTAAAGTATTTAGTCAGTGAGTAACTTTTTTGAAACTATAACAGGGTGTCACAAAACAAAAGCTTTTGAGAAATTAAAATTAAAAAAATTCTTGTGCATAATGGGCTTTTAAATGGATGAAGGCCCATTACAATATATTACTTCTTTGTTCGCATGGATAATTTTTTATTGGCTGACTTTTAACAGAGTTCAGTCGATTACAACTTATAAATTATTCGGATTGGATGATACATTATGATTTTAACCGCGTTGACAACAATTCCCTGAGGTATACGTTCATTAACAAAAACTGAACATCAATAGTGGGCCAACATTGAATATTTCATTAGTAAGCGGTGGTGAAAACTCTTTGAAATTCTCGCTTGATCAATTATATAAAAAATCATTAAAGAATTAGTGATTATTACTATCTGCTAACCGTAATCAAGGGTTTAAAAAGCATATGGTATGGTAACTACGATAACAAAAAACCAACAAATGACAGAGAAGCACTGAGAATAAAACTTTTTTAACAGAGAAATATTGAAAAGAAAAGAAAAACATTGAGAAAACTAACAAAGTAGTGAAAAAAAAACAAGCAATTATCAAAGTATTGCAAGCAATACATAAGGCCCCTGCCGCTTAGAACACCAGAAACATTCTTCTGGACATGGCCATTCAATTATGCCATTGTGGATGAAATGAATGAACATTTAATATTTTGAGGTCTTAGTTTATCTGTATCATAGACTTAATGTGTTAAGTTTTAATGCCTAATAAGGAAATTATATTTGTACACCAGATAATCAAAAGATCCAATTTCTCAAGATGAATATGTATAATGTGGAGCTGGGTGTGTGGAGGTTTCGTCTGTTAACAAACAAATAAGCATTTCTGTGTTATATTAATTTTCTCTGTCGTATAATTTTCCATAGGATAATTGGATCAAATACCAACACAAATTAAGTATCAAATCATGTTTCGCTTTATTCAGCTTCCTCAGTTCAAATTTAAATTTAATTTTCCATTAACTTACAATAATTATTCATCCTCAGTATTTCTTAAAAAAATCCTTTTGTTATTAAATATATAAGACACAACTCAGAAAGTCCATTTTTATTTGTTTGGGTCGTCAGACCAAACAAATAATGGTAGCGAAATTTCAGAGTCTAATGTTGTTAATTGCAAATGCCGAAAGTAGTCCACTTTTTTGAAGCGGTTACTTCCCTTTATATATAACACTAACGCCGAAAAATTCAGGGGAGATCAATGCGTAAAGATGGTCAAAGACAGGCACATCTATATTCAAGCAAAATAATTCCCGAATGGTCGAATATTTCTAATATTGTTTTATTGTATTTTCTGATCGAAAATAAGTAAATACAAAGCGGACATTCAATCTCTGACACAGAAGTTTATGACAAACCTAACAACAAGTAGTTCTCAAAACAGCTTTAAACTAGCGATTTAAAAGAAAGAAATATTTTTATTTTGTTACAAGTATCCAACAAATTACAACGCATTAAAAGTTTATAAATAGCGTTGGCTTATAGAATTGTCAATAAATGTACAATCAGAAATTACGCGGATGAATATAATTTTATCAATGAAAATACTATTTTTAGCGATAACGATTACCGAATACTATACAGTAGTGGAATATATAGATTCTACATGTCGGACTGTTTGGGCGAGAAGATTTTCGCTAAATTATTTACTTCAATTTTAAACAATAGGTTTATCCTGAACAAAATACCTCGAAATTAATAAGGATTACAAACCCGAAATGCAATGGAAGTTCTAAATTTAGAATGACTTGATGTTATTCAGTTATTATTTGTATAACTTCTGCGTGGTACAGGGGTAACGCGCTCGTTTAGTGAGTGAGAGGTCTGGAGTTCACATCCCAGTCGAGGAAACTTTTTTTTTAAATTCTTTTTTAAGTGTCTTTGTAAAGGAAGTAGCCATGATATGCAAGGATAAAGTGTGGCTGTCGTAAAAAATGAACATAAATGATTTATTGATGCAACTCTAGTTATGTATGTATCAAACTCTGGTGCCTAGCAAAATGAATTATAATACATAAAGATAAACTTATACAGGAAAATAAATACAGATATACAGTACGATTTAGATTGCAAATATCAGAAAATACCACAGAACTTGCAGCCCTTTGATTCTTTATAAATATACATGCTTATAGTAAGCTCCAGGATTATTTACATCTGTGTTAAACAACAGTTAAAGTCGTTACAAGCCCTAATTTAGATCGAATAATATGGTTTTCTTCAGGCCGTTCCCGTGGCTGAAGGGTTTTCACGCTCGCTTAGGAAGCGAGAGGCCTGGAGTTCAAATCCCAGTAAAGGCAACTCTTTTTTTTTCAAATTGTTTAAGTCAAATAAACATTGGATTGAATATCAGTGTTGCAATCAGTCTTATAGCCAATTTACTACAATTAAAACGCTGGAAAGCATTGGTGAGACCCAAACAAATTCAGCGCCTTCTGTGCTTTGATTCTTGTTTTTACTATATAGATTTTTTCTTCTTTACAACAACAATTCCAACTGGTTGAAAACAACAAAATATGTACAGTTTAATGTACCGCAGAAAACTGCGGCACCAACACTTAAAACTTAAACCGTTACATGTTTAGTGTCTGTCTGTCTGAATCAATCTCTAAAAAAAAGTCTCTTTTATTAAAACAAGAATAATTGTAAAATGAACCAATAAAAATACGGCCCTTAAACAACAAAATATTAACCAATGAAAATACATTTTATCAATTATGAAATTATCGATTTGACCAATCAAAATGGTTCGATTTAGACTGATTAACTCGCTAGATGTCAAAAGCATCATAAAAATGTATATATGTAAATGTATGACCAAAAAAATTGAACTGTTTACGTGAACAAAAATTGTCTGTTTGTCATGAAAATATTTTCAGCACTTTTTTAGTTTCATCACAAATATTGTTATATTTGTCATAATTCAAGTCTATTTGATGCCATTGCAACCATTTTTTTCAACATAGTAAAAAAGACGTGCATAATCTCCAGAATGCCATCTACCTATATTTAAAGTTTCATAAAAATATTGTTATCACGGGCTATATTTCCCATATTTAAGTCTGTTTGTTTAGTTAGTTTAATTAGTTTAAACACATTTATTGCATATATTATATATAATCAGATTAAAACATACGAATATTTTAACAACCGCTATCATAATACACTGGAAGCACTAGGTACGGAGGACGGAGGTTAAACCGGCAGGGGACTAAAAACAATGGAGAACATAAACGAAGTAGAAAAATATTGTCAGAAACTTCCAAATACAGAAATATCAACAGAAAAAAAAATCTGATATATTTTTTAAAGAAGAAAAACGCCAAGAGAATAAACAAGATAAACTCTAAAACAAAGAGAAAATATGACAAAATAGGAACATGCTGACACAAAAAGTGAAATACCGACAAAAGAAAGGAATACGTTAAAGCAAAGAAAAACTGACATAAAATACACTAACAAAAATGGAGAAATTTTGACACAAGAAAAATTACTGACATAGGAATAATTATGACACAAGGAGAAAAAAAGACAAAATAATGAAACAAAAAGAAATGTTGAGATAGAATAATTATGACGGAAATAAAAAAAATTAGAGAAATGCTAACAATATTAGGAGGATATCGTGTCAGTGTATGCCTTTGTGTCAGTAGTAGTCTTAGTGATCCTGTTCATTGACAGCAGTTGTATGTGCAGGATACCGTTTACGCTCCTGGCATCGGTTGAAGAAGAATTCAAGATTTATATATAAAAGTTGTGATTGGGCTTCTTTTAAGGTTTCCACTCAATCTATATATTGTCACATCAGCGTAGGTTTCGCCGCATGAATGCTGTAAAAAGTCGCCTAGTTCATTCATTCAGAGATGTCATATTTCCGATCCATGGAGTATCGGTCGGTACGACATTATTGTTGTGGCATTATTTTTCCTTCTGGGGTATACCAGTATTTTTACTTGAATAAAATTTAGCCACCTTTTGGATGTGTTCCTGCTTTTTTAGTTATCTTTCTGAACGTTATGTATGATATGCCGGCATCATAACCTTTAATCCACTTTCATAATCGAATTTTATCTATTTCTGGACATTTACAAGTAAGAGCAGCATTAGAAATTCTAGTAGACTGTCGTCTTACAGCATCTATAAACGCTCATTCGAAACTGAAGAATATCTTTATTAAGTTAATATTAATAATAACCGGTACCGTTGGCCTAGTGGTTAAGGCGTCCGCCTTCGGATCGGGAGGTCGATGGTTCGAGCCCCACGGGGAGCGTTAATTGAAGGATAAATGTTTCTCGTGGGACTCTCTCCGAAATGGCCGCTTTGTGAGCCGTAAGGTAGTTAAAATGAATGGTTACCGGTTTCTATCCGCCTGGCATAGTGGTAACAAATTTCAGTTATAACTTACAAAATTCAAATTGTCATCACATAATCTAGCAAAAGAAACGGGTCGATACGAAAACGTAGCACGAGAAAACAGACTATGTACGAATTGCAATTTAAACGTGGTAGAAAATGTATTCATTTTTTGTTTCCAAAATACTATAATTTACGTCGCAAATCTTAAAACCATACTATTGTCGCTGGCCATCAATTCAAAAATTTGAAAAACTAATGTCTACAACAAACACGCAAATGTTGAATAACCTGTCAGAATTTTTGTATTTTTCATTTAAAGAAAAAACGGACAACAGTTAGTAGCTTAAATTAATTCACTTATCAAATTTTTTGTATTTTTCATTTCAAGAAAACAACTGACAACAGTTAGTAGCTTGAATTAATTCACTTTTTGTAGCTCAAAGAACTTCTTTCTGTAAAACATTTCAACTTTGTTAAGATTTTTATATTATGAATCATGTTCTTCCATTACAAGAATAGATAACAGAAGCTTTAATTTATTCAAAGTTTGTAGCACCAAGAACGTTTCTCTGTAAAAAATTCAAATTCGTTAAGGTCTTTATATTACGTATATATAATGTACTTACATTACATGATTGTTAATTGAATTGGCTATAAATGTGTATTGTCATTTTATGCCAAATAAAGAATATGTTATGTTATGTTATGTTATAAACATATGTTATGTTATTATGTTATGTTATGTTATGTTATGTTTTGTCAAAATGTCTTACCGTGTAAAGCACGCACATTATTACTGATGCATTGCGAATTATCTGCCGCTTTTTGTTATGTTATGTTATGTTATGTTATGTTATGTTATGTCAAAATGGTCTAACCGTGTAAAGCACGCACATTATTACTCGTGCATTGCGGATTAACTGCCGATTTTTTCAATGAATGACACGAACATTCACAATGTTTGATATATATAAATTCTGAAATCTCTTTTCCTCTGAAGTTATTTAAATTTCACATCTTTAAAAGTAATTGAGTTTAACAATTAAGTTAATTATGTTTTCTCTGCAATGGAATTTAATGTTATAGATCTATATGAAATAGAATATATTGTTAACACTGGTCATTACTAGCCTATCAAACATCATGCAAACCAATTTTCTCTATAAAAAGAACAGATTCTGGGGGGGAATTTTAAAAACTTTCTATAAATTAATAGGGTCTTACTTAAAAACCCTTAAGTCCCCAAAGTGACCTGACCTTTTTTTGATGTTATGGGTTTCCGGGGGTTTTATCTTACTACAGCTGGGATTTCATAAGGGGTATGTCATTTCGCGTTTTTTTCAGTCCCCAATGTTGGTTTGTTTCCAATTGGGTCGATCGATCGTTAAGCCCCGTTTTTAAAACCCTCCTTTATCCGTACATCCCGGGGTTTGTGGGTTATTTTCCCGTGTAATTTTCCGGTGTTTTGGGGATGGGCAATAAAAATTAGTAGGAAAAAGGTTTTGGTTTTTTTAAAATACTTTTTTCATTGGTTTCATTTTAAAAAATTTTAATTTAAAATTTTTAAAACAATAAAAGAAAAAAATTTACCATATTTAATTTAAATGAAATTTACGTTTTTGAAATTAAAATACGTTCAAAAATAACTTTATGGTATTTTCCCGTTATCGTTGTTCCCAGTACTAGCACCGTCCACGTTCCTGCCCAATAATTAGTTCAGGTGAATATTCAACAACACGTTCAAAATTGCTTTCTGGTTGGTTTTCCAGGGGAACGGGAAGGAAATCATTTAAGAACGCCGAAATTCTATCGTCCATTGTACCATTTTGCCTTTCGCCCAAATAACGCTGGCTTATCAAAAATTTATGGATTTACCCCCGGACAGTTTTTTTCGTTTTTGTATTTTTCCATTTTACTACAAAAAAATTATTTTATAAAGTAGATAAATGTATATAGCTTTTTTAGGTTAGTAACCAGTTGTCACATACCGAGAATTCAACTTTTTCAATTTTCCGTTTTTGATGTCCCTTTAAAGGCTTCCAAATTTTTCTTTAATGTAGGTAAAATTTCTGGTTTGGAAATCATTTTGTTAGAAAATTAAATCTCTATTTGTTGGGCGCTTTCCAGTTTGCTTAAATCGTCGTTGCTGAGTCCTCCGCTGGTATAACGTCATAGTGATATACGTTTAAAGGGACTCCACTGAGGTAATATGTGACATGTCGGGACTGTCATATATAGTTTGTTACGCAAAATTTCTGGTCATTCGCTCACTCTGTTTTTTTCGAGAATGATTATTAAATTTTGAAAAATGACTCAAAAATAAAAATCTGGCTAAGAGTAGCAAAAAATATGTTTTTCAATTTATCTATTTATTATATTTCTTAATTATCTTTTGCATATCTTTTCTATTTAAAGATCTCCAGTTGATATATGTAGAACTTGAAATCATATGGGGTTTTTTTTTTTTTAGTTTTTTTTTTTGGATCTCAGCGGAGTTCCTTTAAAATTCAACGATCAGACAGGTACATAAAATAACGACTTAGCAATTACTTTGTGACCCTTAAAATCGCTTTGCCACCTCTTATTTCCAGTGAATCATATGGAGTAAGTTGAAGAAAAAAAACTTTCACAAACAAAAAATGCTGTTTTTTATTTAAAGTGTTCATTATAGATTGAGTAAAAATTTAAGTTAGTTTAGTCATACTGTGACTAATAAAACGTGCAGCTTTTTAAAGAGATTATAAAAAGTCTCCATGAGTTACCCTTTTCGTACGTTATTCCAGGCACAAATTGTGTATAACCATCTGGCAACCGAAAGCTAACTGGAGTTAGAGCGCGAGACTTGTAATCTCGACATCGTGGCATCTTGATTGCGGCATCTTTCTGTAATATCCTCCAAAATCTAATTTGACTAATACTCTTCTGGAGGACTCGTGAGTATAAATAAAGTCAAACACACACACAAACAAGCTAACTGAATGATTAAATATGCTGAATGCCAAAATGAAATTGAATAAATAAGATAAATTTTAAAACAAAAAACAGGGGCATGATATTCTTTATTTTGTTTCAAATTTAAAACAAGCCATTGCTTTATAAATCCCTATGAAAGAAAACATGATTAAGTAAAAGGGACGAACCTTTCGGTGTTATTTTAACCCTATCGTTTTTTTTAATTTACAATGTTCGTGTTAATCCATTCACTTTTCAAGTCAATTCTCTGATTTCATTCCCTTTTTACGAAAACACAAAGTTATTCATTAAAACTGAAGGGACCTATTACCAAATTCACGGCGTTATATGATTTCGACATTTAAAATTGTCGTTGCGGGATCGTTACATAAAACTTGTTATCTGAAGGAATCTAATTTAACTCAGCTAAAAAATAATTTAAAGATGATATTTTTAAGAAGGATCTGAAACAAACAAGCATGGTTGTACATTGTGTATTTATAAGGACGAAATAATATTCCCAATAGTAAATGCTTAATTTAATGCCAGTTTTAATCTAATACTATTTGGGGCATATAAAATTGGAGGTGGCTTTTCCAAGTTGATTTTTTTTTCCTGTTTTGTTGTTAGTCTCGCAGCGTGATTAATTGGAAAATTGTATTAATTAACTGAATATAATCATTCGTAATTATGTTTTAGATTGATGGGCTTCTGGCAGCTAAACAATCGTAACTTCTCGGCCGTTTCCGCCATTTTCGGAAAATGTTCTGATTGCAGTGATCTGACTGTATTTTAATATTTTGCCATGGTCTATGTGTTAATACGTGTATCTAAAACTTTTGAGTTTTTAGAGGTAAGAATCACAAACTTGCAATGAAAAAACGTTCTTATATTGAGGTCTACGTGTTGCACAATTTTTCAATGGGACAAATTGATTAATTTACTGGCTTTTATATTGTCAAGAGTTTAAAACAGGATGCCTCCAGATTCATGGCTTATTTTCGATGAATAGTTTGAAATGTGATTTAAAGTAAAATATTGAAGACAGTATTTAAGACATTGCAACCTGTGCTTTGTAAACATGTAAATTCCCCAAAAGAGTGAAATATAATAAAAAAGTTCTTTACTGCGTTGTCATGAAGTAGAAAATATCATGATAAATACTGCAATGTCGGTCATTTTTTGCATACACCATGTGAATAATTACTCGTTTTTCTTGAATCTTTTCTTTCTCTTATATCTTAGTGGGTTTTTTTCTCAAGTTTGATTTTTTTTGGCATGCAGCTAATAGTTTCATCAAGAACTTTTTTTATTGTTCAATTTAATATAATAATAATCATCATCAATAATCCGCCGTCGTTATCGTCATAGGTAGGGTAGGTAGGTAGGTAGGTAGGTAGGTAGGTGGGTCGTCGGTAGGTAGGGAGGGGGAGGGAGAGAGAGAGAGAGCACAGGCACGACGTATCGGACCTGAAGAGAAAAAATATGACCAGATTGATATAAAAACGCTGTGTCCATCTTAAAAAGTGTCAAAAACCAAAAAAAAATGTAAATAATAACCCCCTTTAAAAATATACTATAAGTTAAGAGAAGGCCGGAAACTCGAGTTTCAAACATTTACACGGTCTTTCAATCGCTTTCTCCTTGTGTGAAACGTTGCCCGGTTTCGTTGTATTGGCCAATCAGAAGACTCGTTACAAAATATCGAACAGTGATTGACAATGGCGTAGAAAGTAATCTAAAGACCGTGGAAAGGTTTGAAATTCGAATTTTTGCGTGTATCAGATGCTACTGACGGTTGTGAGTTTGGTCCAACTTAATGTGTTTAGTAATATTAATTTAGTAATTCAAGTGATTTTGACCCGTGGCTCAGCTGACAAAACATGTATTAGTCTATTGTTTACGCACCCCGAATCGTTGTGCCGCAATTCTGTCTACCAAGGATTTTTAGCACGAATTCGCTTTGTTTCCTGGAACGGGAAGGGCTAGAGACTTGGGGTCGGTCTCATTTGGAAGCTTAAAACAAACGTGAAATAGTGATAGAAGTTTTTTTTAATTGTCTTACCAATTGTTTTCACAACGGCCCGGGAAATGAATCACTTGCTCGTAGGCTCGAATCTGGAGTTTCCGGCCTTCTCTTAACTTATAGTATATTTTTAAAGGGGGTCATTATTTACAATTTTTGTTTTGGTTTATGAACACAGGTTTTATTATCAATCTGGTCATATTTTTCCTTCCCAGGTCCGATACTCGTGCCTGTGTGAGAGAGAGAGATATAATCACATGACACACCATTTTCAATATTGAAGACTTGATGAGGATTGAGAAGTTTTCTGAAGGATGTGATCAGATTTAAGCCTTGACATCCACCACTCTTTACATTAACAAACACTAAAAGTGGGTTCGTGTTATCTGGTATCATGTGTGGCTACAACATTAATAAGAAAATTAATTAGATCACTCAAAAGGACAATTTTAATATCAAAGTACAATCTAGCCGGATACCGAAATTAGGAAG